ATAAACCGCTAGCGTATTACAATGGATTTGAGAAGTAATTACCCCGTGCCACTGGATGCAATTTTCAATTACAATTCAATGTGAGTCTGAAATTTTAGATTTTGCTTAATTGGATTTTTGCGCAGTTTATCGCTTTTTAAAAGCTACTTATATGTCGCAGAATAGAGGAAATGGTTCCTATAATGCTTAATAAGTAATATGCACGAGTAATAAAATCATAATTAGAAGCTAAGCAACAAGTTACTATTTAAAATATCTTGCAAAATTTTTCATTTGGACTGTAAAATCATACTGCTGCAGTTCTTCGTACCAGAGTGCAACTGAACGATCGACCTCCTTCATTGTTTTAAATCAGGTGAGTGCCTGATGGTCATTTCTAACAATGAACTTCCTCGCTATCGGGTAACGTCTGCAGTGTCGAACCCTTAAGTAGATGGCGAACAGCTCACGTTGCGTCGCATTTTTCTGTCTCATTTTTTTATCGGGCCTTGTACTCGCATAGGCAGTAACGTTTTCCCTTCCTTTTTTGTCCCTCTGTTAGAGTATACCGCCCTTGGCCGCGTCGCCCGTGTCCAGTACAAACGGTGGGGCGCTCGATTCGAAGTTTGGTAGCGCTAGAATCAACGCGGAGCGGGGCATTCGCTCCAGTTCTTTAAACGCCCTATCATCCCCTTTCTCCCACTTGAAATTCTCCCTCGCCTGCTTTTCGGTTAATTTATGCAGCGGGCTGGCGATCTTAGCGAAACCTTTAATGGAACGTCGGTAGTAATTTGGCAAACCTAGGAAACTGAGGAGCTCTGTCTGGTTGGTTAGTGTAGGTCATGTCCTCACTTGTTTAGCACGGTCTTCGGTGACTGCCATCCCATCTGACAAGACTGAATGTCCCAGGAAGGTGGTCGAGCGTTGCAGGAAACAGCACTTCTTCGGGTTCAAGATTAACTCGGTGTCTCGTAGACGATTCAGAACTAGTTTCAGGTTGACGTTATGCTCTCGAATATCTCCACCAAAAACGGGAATATCGTCCAGATAAATTATGCAATGCTTTAAGAATAGGCCGATTAGAGCTGTTTGTATCAGGCGTTGGAAAGTAGCAGCTGCGTTACAGAGGCGAAGGGGCATCGTTTGGAATTTTATGAAGCCCATTTAGTAATATAAAAGCTGTCTTTGCTTTGTCTGCTTCTGCCACATTCACTCGCCAATATCCAGACTTCAAGTCTAGGGTGGAGAACCACCGCAACCCATCTAAGGAGTCCATTGAGTCGTTAGTGTGGGGTAAGGGGAACGCATCCTTTATAAGGCGTTCAACTTCCTATAGTCAATGCATAACCGTAGGCTACCATCATTCTTCTTTACCAGCGTGATCGGAGAGGCCCACGTTTACTTGGACGGCTTTATGACCTCGTCTCGAAGCATTTTTGACCAGATGGTTCACTTCCTCTGGCAGAGGTGGTGGAAAAAGTCTAAGTGGTTACCAGATGGGTCTAGCTTTGTCGATATCAATCGTATGCTTGCCGATATTTGCAAGTCTTAGTCTTGTAACTTGCCATGAGAAGATGTTCACATACTTAAGTAGGAGCTTATGGAGTTTTTTCTCTCGTCACCAGAAACGTGGATCATTTAGATTGTTTATGGGAATGGCCGCAGCTTCTAAAGGAGCAATGCAGGTATCATCTGCATCATCTTCCGGTAGAAAAGTTTCTGCATTGGCTTCAGTGACACGGTGAGTGGAGAAGGTTCCTTCTGCAGAATTTAGGGCTGCTCTGGTGTGGTGTAGGAAATTGGCACCAAGTATTACGTCTCAAGCGAGTTTTGGACGTGTGAGTGATTTCACTATCCATGTTTCCTTCCCTATGCAGACGTTTAATGATGTCTCTCCTTTAACTAGCATCTCCCTTATTTCTGCTGAACACAATTTTGCAGAAGGGGAGAGGAGCTTAATCCTGCTACAAAGGGTAGGGAAGGCTTGAAGGTTTACCAGTGGCGTAACTGCGCCAGAGTCGAGAAGAAACTGCAGGAACCTGCATATAAGAATGGGAGCCATTTGGAATCAGACAGGAATAATAAAAGGAAGGCTCATCTGGTTTAGGGGCATAGCGCGGAGAGGCACGATGCGAGGGTGTTGAATTAGACCAGCTTTAGGGCTTCTAGTAGGTAGGAGTCACCTAGAGTCCCCACCGCTTCTTGGCTGCAAGCTTGACCAGTTGACCAAGAGAGTTGGCCTTAATGTTGCAGAGCTTCTCTAACACAGCGATGGGTAGGACTCCGTGTCTAAACTGGGCCGTTTTCCAGTTATCGACCTTGATTGGGGGATAGCCACTGAATGCACATTAAACTAGATGTTAAAGGTCGTCCTCTTCACCCTTTTGAAAGCAAAGGAGGGAGCTAAATGTTAGGAGTTGCTCTTCCCGATTGATGACGAGTTGATCAGTGTCGGTATCATAGGAAATGGGGGCGTCGATTGAGCGGAGGATTAAGGACATTGTTCGGCACTAATGACAGAGATAGAGATTCATTTTTGCCGTTTTGAGCAGCTTATTGAAGTTTAAACCGTCTCTGAAAGGGGGTATCCTCTGGCGTTGCCACCAGTGTCATAGTTGTAGTGCAAAGGAGGAGGGGGAGTGGGTACAAGTTTGGAAGGTTTGGGCACGGAGCTTTTCCATGGGTTATTAAGTGTTGACTGCCTCTCAGTCACAAGCTTTGATTCGCATCCTACATCCTCTCTGAAAAGCACATGTTGGGCAACATAGGTATTTCAATAATGCTGTTATTAGCGAATACAAAACAGCAAATGGTGCAAAAATCGTGAATATTAGGGCGACAATTGCGTATTTATATGCATTTTCTAAGACTTCAAGCTTTTATTTGCCTAAAAGATTTTTCGACCTTATCATTTCTGCGCTAAGTTTTACTGTAGGATTCGTTTTAACCCATGCAACGCCATGCGGATTTTTCAGTCTGGCTGGTCTTTTTTGGTATGAGTAAAACTAGGGATCCTAGTTTACACGAAGACTCACAGGATGACATAAGGTAGCTCTTTTTGCTCAAATTTAGTCTTAGCAACAACGGCTTTGATGATGAGGGATTTAGCTCATGTAAGCATGCGTTAATCTTATTTTCCCAGTCCTGCCCCAAATGTGCAATCAGCTGTCTGAAGAAGAAATTGCTTTGCGGAACGAAATGAAGTTATTAAAACAGGCAGTAAAGCACACTTTCTTATAGCCTGCAGAAAAAACTCCTTAGTGATTTGAACCAGGAATTGGTTTCGCAACGTGTTAAACCTGAATCACAGACAAAGTGTAAGTTGTCTAGCGGTTCTTTTATGCGTGATAGCTTCCAGAACTACAGAGCAAGCGAAGGAGGAAGCAATGAAATTGTTAAAGTCTGGAGCAATATCATTCGACACAGGGAATGAACGTCACGTCTTTAAGCGAAAGTTGAAGGAATCGGAGGGTGGCGATTCGGAGGATATTTCAGGTCTGTGGAAGGATTCCACTCTTATCAAAGCACATATTAGAGCCTGGAAAGGGTAGAAAGCCTAGCCTCTATGACAACTTTGTTGCCGGTGAGCGAGTCAATCCGACTATTTCACCCACGAACAAGCAGAAACCGTCAACACCTCTTCACGACGCTCCACAGGACAGTCGAAATGACTTTGGTAAACGAATGTCTTTACACAAGCCCGGTTTACCCGACTTCGAGGGTGAAGGTCGGAGGCCTACAGGCGGATCTACCATCTACATCAGCTTCAACGACATCAACGAGGCTAACGTGCGTGAAATCCTGGAACCCTATGGACCCATTTTGAACATCCGAGTTGACGAAAAAAAGTGGTGAGACTTCTTCCTAACACTTTGGCCACTTATATCACAAGTAAATAACGTGCCTACGTCAACTGTTTGCCCCGTATCTTATAATGAATGGACAATGAAATCGATGCAGGATGTCGGCTCCAACGGTGGTTCATTTAGTCACCTTGTTAGTGCGATCGTTTGTGTAATGGACGACATTAAAGGTGTTGTGTTCTAGTAGGACTGTCATTTACTTTTCTTTTTTATTCCAGCTATGGATTTGTTACTCTAAAGTCACCTGATATGGCCGAGAAGGCTCTTATGGTAGGTTTTTTTCGCTTTTTAATCTCCCTTTTTCAAAGCGGTGATATTCCTTTTTTTACTTTAGCTGGATCGGACGAGATATAACAATCATCGCTTGCGCGTAAATTATGCCCGACGCCAGCATCGTGCCCATGATGTTAATTTCGAGGATAACTTGGAGCGCTCATCTCCTAGACCTATACCTCGAGGTATGTATTTCCTTTTTATATTTTCAAACCAAATCGATATTTCTGTTTCTGGTGTTTCAGAGGAAATTAGTTGTCTAGCTTGTCATTCAATCATATTTTGGTCGAATTCATTAACCAAAAATCCATTAGAATCAATGGCTGATAATCTGGCCTTACCTTTCCATTTTTGTACTTCCTGTCTTCTACTCTTCATCCTCCTAATTTCATTGCCCCCATTTGTAAGAAAACTTACACCCTAACAGAGGAATTAGTCCTAAGTTAACTTGTCAGCATTTCCAGTGATGTTAAATCTTTGGTGTCGATTCGTAAGCTTGCCGGTGTGCTCTGCCTGTATTTATAGAAATTACTGGAATCAGGCATCTGAATGAAGCTCTGGGAACCAGGGCTTTTTAATAATTAAGTCCTTCCAAACTTCCGAAGGTGTTGCGCATTTTCTCATTTCTTTGCAACTTTTAAATCCCCTTATTTTTTGTAGAGTCACTTCAACTCTCCTCCGTCTTAACTTTTGATAGCAAATGTGAATCCTTCATTTACACCTTTACGACGTGGCATTAGAAGGCTTGGTTTATTTAGGAAAGAGTTAATGGTTGTTCCTCACTTACAATCACGCCTACTTTGATGCTGCAATGGAGGGGAACCGTCTCAACCCCTTGGAATACTCCGCCTCCCTCTGATTTAATGTCGATCATCTGGCTCACATCTCAATTCCACAATGGAACAAAAGAGGGAACCAAGAGAAGGATAATAATTTTTGGCTCAACTGATTGCTCACAATTTCCATCATCACCTCGATGGCACAGAAAGATAGAGATGGATGATACACCCGAAATTAACCAAGCAGTACTAGTACAATAATCTTCCACTGTACTCCTCTGGCCTGGGCAGATCAATAACTTTGCAGGGACGGCAATCGGCACTATATCCGTCCGAGGCACGTAACAATACCCTTGAGAACCCTGGAGGAATCTTAAAACTTTTATCCGCCCGACACTCCTGCGCCACCACCGGGCGGGTGGGGGGATTGGGCTCAAGGGGACTGACAAACTCCATACCGTCGCGTGCTACCGTTTGCATCACTCGTCCAAGTTGGCGGTTGGTGTCTCGCTGGCGTATGTGCCCGTACGCCGAGTAGCGCTCTTCACACCATGGACCGCCCACGGTGTTGACGGGACAGATTTCGGCGGAGGCGTTGCGGCTGCGTCGACAGCGCATGTATTTTTCTACCCAATGAGCCTCGTGGCGCAGCATCGCCTGGGAGACAGTGGGGAGAATGTGGCGATGTGAGGTCAGGGGTAGACACGCGTAGCTCCGGGGTGAGCTGAGTGCGTTGGCGGCGAAAAAGTCAATCCATGGCTGCTCCACCTCGTTGGTGTGAATGTGTGCTGGCACCACATGGCTCTCCATGTTCCGTTTGATTTGGTAGCCAGTGGGGAATGGCTCATGACCTCTGTGTAACATCGTGTTTTTTTGGTTTACGCCTCTACTCCTCTTCTCCCTCGCTCTCCTCCCTCACGCCCCGAGTCTCGGCCTTTCGTTGCGTGGACTTGCCTTTTCACGTGGTGGAGGGGAGTATTGATTTGTCTTCTTTGAAGTCGCGCATTCTGTGGTTTGAATTCACAATGAACCCTTTAAAGCTACTGAAATGCTTGATATTCATCCATCTACCAATGAACTGCTTTGGTTTTAATTTATTGTAAGCCCATTGAATCGCCTGTTACAAAAGGACACTGATTTGTGGGTTTTTTCGCCAATGAGCCTTTTTTACTCTCATATGTCATCAGCAATTTTGGGGTTTTAAATGAAATAATTTTCCATTTTAATGCTTTTGTGATCAATATTATGTTATTGTTTTTGTAACTTACTTTTGTAAATTCTTGACACTTCGAGAAGGGGCTAATTATTTGTTCACCGAACTCCGGTTGAAATGAAGTTCCATTTATAATTTGACTTGCCGAATTGGTCCGTTTGATTCTCACAAATGATCCTTTTTTGTAAACTGCATATGAAAAAATTGTTTACTGCCTACTTGAAGGTAAATTTACTTTACAAATGATTAGTAATTGAAAATGAGCGAGTTGTAGGTGGTTGTTGCTCCTTACTATAATCCTATCTGCGCCTACTTGCATATCATCAAACATGGGCGAAACAGACATGATTCCTGGCACTGCTTACATTTTGAGACATTCTTATCTGGGCCCGGAATCACAAATGCGTGAAATGTTCTTTGCTGCTTTATACTATTATCTGTATGTTCTATATGTATGGTTCCAAATTCGAGGACCCAGTTTCACGTTCTCTATTTATCTAGTGAGTTCTTGGATAAACTGGGAAAGCTGATCAGACCTCTCCCCGTTCAAGGTGGGGTTTAAGCCATTCGAGGGCTATGTTTGACCTCTTAAGGGAATCCTGCCTTTACCCATTGGATAACCTCGCTCAGTTGAACTCATTTTTTGGGATACGGGTTCTTGCTTGTTTTACTCCCTATCTTAGGTCGGATGTCATATTTCCTTCTTCTGCTGTCAACTTTTTGCGCATGCACTGCATCCCACTCAGCTAATTTTAGCTTAGCGCAACCCCCCATGATCTTGAGGCAAAGTTAATGTTTCCCCTAAATTTATATATATAAAGTGGTGAATTTTCTACGAGTTTTTGACGTGGACCTGTTTTCACTTTTCGTCTCGTTGTCAATCGGTTGCTCAAAAAATTGCCAATTTTAACATGATTATCCCGCTTTCCTAAGTTATTTCACTCCTGAATTTATGCTTCAATTTATCCAAAAGACTAACAATGTTACTTTAGAAGGAAAAAAAACTACAGCATTAAAAACCTTAGAAAGGATATTGCTGTCTATAAAAGCCTGTTGACAGGTGGTTACTCAATACATCCTTGTTTTTGAGGTAAATCAGTTTACATACGCCAGTCTGGAGTTGTTATTCGAATTTTAAGTAAATTACTTAAAGTGAGATGGCAAAGGATAACTATCAAGCCGACCACTTTTGAGGTTTCGCTTATACCCATGGCCAGGACGCTCTGATATCGCTCATGCCATCAACCTTAGGTACTGTTTAAAGTGATTGAAAGTCACCGCCTTCAAAGCTAAGTTCTTTTTATGGTTTTAGGGTTGTGTTAAGAAATTCATCCTTCAGATCCACACTTTGAGTAGAGAATCGAGAGATTTCGAGGAATCTAACCGTACTTCAATTATAGCATTGGATTTCCATTTACATCTTACCTCCAGAAACTTGCCCCGGTTTAGTTAGGTGGACGAGGATGCCCTGATTCGGTTAGCGGTGGATACGTAGTACTGTCTCATTTCACCCTCTTACATGACAAGTACGCAGGTTCCCTTCTGAAGGCACAGTCAGGCATATCGGCATAGATCTAGTGAGAATGAAGAGCTCGTGTAGGTTAATGCACGAATAGGGCAAATATTGCCTCACCACAATGTTGGGCTTAGGTATCTTGATATTCTTTCCGTAGTCTCTCAAAAGGACATCGACCACCGCATACCAGATGCTTTATCGCTCTGGTAGGATGCCAATATTCGATCTGACGGACTGATAGATCCAACTGATTCTCAGAACAGGAACATCCTGTATTTGCTTTATTGGTTCCCACTTAGCCGATTCATTTGCGACACGATGTAGTGCAGCCAGTTGTTGCGGTCTCTTAGGGAACACATTATACACCTTTCGCTGTTTTCCACTCGTTTCAGGGGGAGGAAACGCCAACGCACTACCACGAATGGCCTCCCAATCACCTCCCAGTCGCGGTGATAAGGCCTCGCCTTCCTCCTCCCTCTCCACATCGAATCGAAACCTCGTTAACTACTCCGACGTCGATTACTGACGCCGTGTTCTCTTTCTCTTCTCTTCTGTGTGTAATCCCGTACATTTTGTGCAAAAAACCGTTTTGTCTGCAATAATGTTGTCCTCTGGGTGCGACATTTTAGTCGGAGGTGTTGACTATTACGCAGCTTTCTGAATGGAAGAACCTTTCTTAAAACTTGTCTCGACATGAATTTGTCCAATTGTGTGTTGATGTACTCCCATCTCCCCGCTTTTACTATTCAGCGCAATGTTCAGTCGTTTGGTGGTCCGACAGGGTTACCGTTTTCCTCATCTACTGAACACTCTTCGCACCTTTTCCACCGCAAGCACCGCCCCAGAATGCGTAGATGTTTACGTGTCAGCGGACCGCGCTAAGTTTTACAAATCTCTGGGCATCTTCTGCCTCGCTCAGGGCTCCGTTTGGCTTATCTTTGGTCAGTACCTTCGGTTAAAGTGTGGCCAACCAGTGACGTGGGAGGTCATGAAGGGCGATGTCTGTGAGCTCACTCGGCGTCTTGCCGACCGCCTGGAATACTGGACACCTGATGCTGTCGCCAAGGTCATTTTTCGGTCTAGGAAGGCTCCACTAGTGGAAGAAAAGGCAGTAAAGTTGACGGAAGAGAAGGTCGTCAAGGTAGATTATGCGGAAAAGGCGGAGACGGAAAAAGGGGAAAAAAGGTCTGGTGTGGAGATCTTAGCGGATAGAATGAGGGAAGCCCTTGGCGTCAAGACGGGGACTGCGAACGGCGATGAGGCCAGGCAGGAGCGGGATAGATCAAAACAATTAATGCCTTATCTCTGTTTCATCATGGGTGCGTCAGCTTCCACCCCTAGTTAAAATCCCTTGTTTTTGGTCATTGATGCTTTTACAAGCTAGATTTTAATGAATGTGAAAACGTAAAGGACTGTTTTTTTCTGTGGTGAAAAATTTAATTTGTATATTGTCGAGCCGTTCTTTTTATAGCTAAGGTACCAAGGGGTAGTGAACTCCCAAAATAACATCCCCAAACCATGTGCTCAATTATTTATTGTTTAGTTTTCTATGCCATTGCAAATTTTGGATCCAGTCGTTGACGTAGGCGCGTAGATAGCTATTCTCTAGAGCGCAAAGGGTGAATAAATTTAACGTCTCCCTTTGAATAGGCGTTTTCACCCTCTTCGTGGGTGGTTTCATTCCGCGTCGTGTGATTCGCCGCGTCTCGCTGGTTCAGTGGAAGTCAACGCAATGTGTCCCCAATGGCCGAAATAATCCGATGATGAGAGTGAACACCTACGGCTGGTTCGGCTTATTCCCCAGAAGTGGAGCGTTGTTTACCACACAGTTGAGTAACATCCGGGCCACTGCGGAGTACCGCGAGGGCAACAGGTTTATGAGTCTCATTATTGCAAAGCGACCCTTTGCCTTCTACCTGGAGCGCCCCGAGGCTGAATTCATCCTACCGGAGTACTTTGAACACCTAAATTCTGAGGCTATTTCGCGGCAGTAGGGATTGAAGCTTTGTGTACATTTGGATGGATGTATTGCTTAAATCTGCCTGTGAATGCAACAGATAATTTTTCTTCCGCAGCCCAGTAGCAATCATGTCTGTTTTATTATCATTGTTGACCTCCGAGGTGGTCCCTTGGCGATCCTGGTCACCTCACTTGTGATGAGGATAATGATGAGCCTAGGAATCCCGTTTGCATTTGAGGAGTATGAGCCCTTTCAATACTTCACCGCAGCTGGAAGAAAGCACCCACGAATTAAGATTGGATGCTCTCATTCATCGGTCTCTACACTACCCCTATAAATCCACACGCACTAACGTCTGCCATCTTGTTTGAGGGTGTTTAGACTGTGCTAGCTCAAGCATATGTGCGCTTGTCACTTATTGCTGTGCCTGCTGCCGTGGTAGCATTCACTTTTAGGACTAAAACAGTTGGAAGCTCCGGTTTGCCGCGAGCCCACCTCGCGAGTGCTACTGCCTGCCACTTTGATTAATGATGTGCATCAGCTGCTACCCTAAAGTACACACCTGACACTACCGCCTGTGACACCGCCGCGGTAGGATTTGCTGTCATGCTCTTGAAATTAAAAGCTTCATTGCGATTTAAATACCTCTCGAGCATTTGTTATGTATTAGATTCAAACACGCTAAACGTCAACTTCCCGTGTAAAAATGAAATGGTCGAGAGCACTGACAAAACCCCTAGTCGAGACAGCCCATGGGGACCGTCGAACCCCCACCTCACAAGTAGACAAATGACGCCCCAATTGAGACCGTCCCTCCAGTTCAAACAACAGGAGCTCACACCGCAGGCGCGCCGCAACTGGGGCCCCGCCCTAAACCGATTCCATAGGCAATTCAAGTTCAATCATGCCTGATGAAAAGAGTTCTTCCCCTCATCCAAAAAATGTATTTACAGATACGCCACGGCACCTCACACTACATTACCTACTTACGCCGAACCGGTGCACCAGGTACTCAGTACGGCAAAACGCTCCAGACGAATAATCGGTTGAGCGTGAAACTAGTGTTACGCTCTCACGCAAATACATAAGAAACATCTCACATACTGAATCACATCCAAATGGAGAAGTATCACAGTGAAAAAACGAGGGGAAGGGGAGGAGAAGGACTACGCTGCTGTTGTCGTCAGTGTAGGAAAAAGGGTGGATAAGCAGCTAGGCTAATATTGACGAAGACCAAAGCTGGTGTCAATGGCGATTGGATCAATGGTAGACTCGAATTCGGTCAACAGCTCGTGAGGATTTATGGGTTCAGGCATCGAAGGCATCTCCTAGTAGGGCACGGAAAACATTATCAAGGGCAAATTCTTTTGTTATCACACAAACAGTGCTCTCCCAGTTGAACACAATGTTAGACCGACTCCCAAAACAAACGAATCGACCAGTTCTCCGCCATTAGAACGCGCATCGCCCCATACCCGCAACGATCTTTCTCGAACCAGACTGGTGTCAAAACTACTACGGTAAGGGACCAGCTCCCTCAATCTGCATTTTCCAAATCCATTTCCTTGTTCAAACTGAGGTGAATGAGCCGAGGGCCGGAAGGTTTACACGACCAATCCAGCAGACGCACACGCGCAGCCCCACCCCCAACTTGGAATACCTCAGAGCCTATAATCTTACTTTATGCGTACCCACTGCTCGCCTCGCCATAATGTAAGTGGGTGCAAGTCCCTGTTGTGATGCTTTCGGAAACACCTCAGTCAAAGTGGCCATTGAATCCCAGAAGCACACTGACTAAAACATCAGTCTATCGACAAGATCTGCAGTCGTCCACCAGCCACAACAAGATCCATCTTGCTTCTGAGTTAGAACTGAACTTGCCAAAAGTGACCACCACCACCAAGCATTCCGTAAGGGGAGTGATTGAGCGGGCCCAGGTTAACTACAACCGTTTCGAATACTTCTCTCCCTACCGGATAAAGCAAGTAAATTGAAACTAACCGCTCGTTTGAGCCTATCATCCCGCTTCCGAAGTTCAAGAATGCGCCGCTTTTCATCTTCAACCCGTCTAGCCTCTGACTCTTTACGACGTTCGTTTTCCTTGGCCTGATTCTGCTCTCGCTGCCGTTGCAGCGCCTCCTCACGCTCCCTCGCAGCCCGTTCCTCTGCCATTTTTGAAGTCCACTGAGACTGCCGCTTCGCCTCACGAACAATTTGCAGAGCCGCGGTGTTCTCATCGAGGAACTTACGTTGGATCCCACCGCCTTTGCTTTCTGTGGAGTCTACCAGAGAAGCGGAGCTTGCTGCAGCTGGCAATCCCAACTGTGAAGCGGATGACGGCAAGGCGGCAGTCTTGTCTGCGGAAGAGGCTGTAACAACAGTGTCAGTAATTGGATGCTTGGGTTTTGGACTCTGCTCCAGTCCCGTTTGTTTCCTATCGCAGGCCCAAGCAGGGTGTGGCAGTTGACTGATTCCTTCGTAGTCAGAGTCGGAAGAGTCGTCATTCTGTGGCTGCTGAGCTGGCTGTTGCTGCTGCTGGGTGGGCGGTGGTCCGGAGCGAAGAGTTGAGGCAGAGTCGGGACTAACATGTTTGGAGGGAGCGTGAGGAGGTGAAGCACCGGAGGCGAGGCCGACGACGCCTGAGGGCGCCGCGGCAGAGGACCGAGTTGTCTGTGACTCTTGCTGCGAGCTGAAATGTGACCCACCAACACTCGAATAGCACATGGACGCTGCTGATGCATGGACTAGCGGTTTGACAGTGCTTGAGTGGCCACCGCCACCCCCATTATGATGCTGGCGGGAGGCCTGACCATCATCGCCTAGAAGTAGTAATAGTTAACAATTACACAACTGTTGCACACCCAAAGAAAAAAAAAGGCAGTCTGAATTAATTACGTGTTCAATCTGTACAAAATGCATTTGTCAAATTTATACAATGCCCCCAAAACTTGGGGTGATATAGCGAGTAAGGGTAAATAGGCTATTTAAAAAGGGTAAAGAGGAACACGGTATTATACAATAGTTACATGAGGCCATGGCCGGGAAAATGACAAGACATAATACATCGACAGTCGACACGGATTGCCCTTTACGGACATAAACCCATTCACAAATCGTAGAAATCAGCTGAAATGCCGATTCAGTGAATAAGAGTGCTCTAAGCGAAGAAACTAGAGGCACGTACACGGGGAAAATTAATGCTTAGGTTGCACAGCGGACTGATTATCTACGTAGACTCACTGTCCGCCTTGGAATCGGATGATTCACTGCCACTTGACTCAGAAGATGACTCAGAGTCACTCGAACTCGACGACGCACTCAAGCGGTTTGACGTCTCTACAAGGATAAATACTACATTAAATCGGGAAAACACAAATTACGATTCTTCCTTCCCGTCTGAGCAGCATAGTACGCACCGCCAGGATTCATGTCCATACCCCCTATATCTCGAAGGCGGCCCTCCAACTCCTCCTCCTTCTTTTTCATCGACTCTTCACGGGATTTAGCCGATGGTGCACCAGAACTAGCCTTCTTAGCATACTTCCGAGAAGCGGACTTTGCTTTCTGCAAAACGGACTTGACGTAACGCTCCAGTTCCCTAAGAGTCGAAGCCTGCAGTGTTTCAAAGTCAATTTCAATTTCATCTGGGTTGCAGTCACGATGAGACGGTTCGCGTTGCTGAATAATCTGTACAACACGACCTAACTTTTCGCCGGGTAGCTTGTTGATATCAAGACTCAGTTGTCGTTTTTCATCATATGTCATAGGGCGAACATTAGCGTCCGAGACGAAACCCTCGTCAACTCCATAGGGCGCAACTGGCATGGCGTTCGGCATTCCAGGAACCGTACTAGCAGCTTGTGCCGACACCGCATTCTGGTAAGTGGACGGATCTTAAAAGGCAATGAGTGTTTACAAAATGACGTACTTTGGGACTTTCTTTTCGTCTTTTGAGTGGTTTTGGCTTTCCTAAAAACACATGTAAGCACACAAAACTCGGCATACCTGCCGACATGATCATCGAAGCTCGATAATGCACTGAAATTATGTACAGCAAATTGCCCTAAAATATTGCTCAAATATTAAGTGAAAACCCACCTTTTTTGAGCATTTTTACGCCTGCCTGATCAGCTGGATGATTTAATACGGTCAAAATTGTAGTAAGGTTTGAGCTTAATTTTTGGAGTTCTTCACCGAATTTGTTGTACTGAGCCACAATGCGCTGATGATCCTTTATAACGGCTTGAATCATAGCTTCACACGACCGCGGATCTACAGTGTGAACACCATCCACGTCATCATCCAGGATCTTCGCGAAATTTTCCTCAAAAATACCTTGCAGGGCTCTGCCCAAATCTGAAACGTCACTTTTCTCCCCATTATATTTGTAACAGTTATCAAACATTAATCTCATGTCCGCTGCGAACTCATTTTTGTTCTGATATACACCACTATCCAGTTTGGTACGAATGGTACTAAGATCCATGGGATGAGTTATAATATCATGGTAGTCATGAAGACCCAGTCTCTCTACATCAACCGGCTTCAGAAACAGTTGATTGTACTGCTGAAAAGGAAAAATATGCATAACGAAAGGGCAAAAGACCTACCCTGTACCTAGCGGCACAAAGATCCTTCAAAAGGTTACTGCACTGCTTCAATGATTCGCTCAATCTCACTCTTTTACCGATGACACGCTCCTCCATCTTAGGCTTTTTAGACACCCTTCGCTCCCGAGATTCATCCATGGAGTGGGGGGTCGAGGGAATATCATCGAGGGAATCAGGTTTGCGTTTGAGGGCTTTTTTATTTACACTGGAAGTAAGTGGGCCTTGATGCTGTTGCAGCGCAACGCCCGAAGGAGTGGTAGGTGGGACCAGAGAGGAACCATTCAATTCTTCTGTGTTATTCAAGATTGACATAGAAAAGTTAGAATCGGTAGAGAGGTTCGACGTTGGCGCAGTGTGACTGGTACTCAACTTCTGTGAAATTAACTCGACTTCTGGATAGGGCAAATTCTGAAGCTTCTCACGAGCGACTCGCTCCAGCTTCATGGCCATAGCAACAACGTCATCGCCAGGCTTATTAAAGATATAGCAATTGCGGAACATCGTAAAGAGATCGCGTAAGCACTCCGCCCCGTGCCGATAAAACTTCAAATTTAACCGTTGTTTGATGGTCCCAAGGTCCATCGGATGTTTGATTATCTTCGGATAGTCCTAAAGGAATACCATTTGAGAGGATACCGTACCGGAAGATTCAGTTTGTGGTGGTCTACCGGTTTTAGAAAGGGCCATGCTAGTTTATCCTTTGCAATTACGGCTATCACATTCCTTTTGATAAATTCCAGTTGATTAGTGTTCACCTTTGCTACACGTGACTTAACGCCGGTGGCGTCCATAGGGATAGCCGTTCACAAGTATACCTGTGCGAAGAAGGAAAAAGACGAACCTTTTTCGAAAAAATGCTGACAAAGTAAAGCAGCGAAATAAACTAAGAATACTACGCCCATAAACTGCACGTCGGCTGTCTACCCGAATGCGATCTTAGTTATGGAATACAAACAGTGCAAAATGAAGAAGGCATATGTAACGCCACCCCACTATTCACAGAAATAGTTCTAGTAACAATGCTTTTATTGTTAACAAGCGCATAAACGCAGACAATTACAAAGATTGGTACCCAAAGGCTGGACGAAATCCAATATGGCAAACGAAACCAACTCAACCGGACCTCCTCCTAGTAATTAAAACATCGTGGCAGCCTGAGAGGCTTTGTGCAAATTACTGCGTATGCAAACTAAAAAATCCAAAACAAACAAGCTTACAAAGTTAAAAATTTATTTTAATGCAAAATGCTTTTTAGATTTATTTTTTTGGTTATAAATTGGAAAAAATAAGGCTTATATGAATACAAATTGCAATTCTCCTTCCTATTGCGTAAAATTAAATTTTTGTGGTGCCACTTTTACCCAAAGATAATCTTGGATGATGTGCAAAACTACCAATTTCCATAGTAAATACACATTTTCCCATAAGGGCATGCTATAATTTTTGCGCTTAGATCAAGCACATGTCTTGCACATTAACTATTCTGGGCATCTTTTATTCCAGTTCATTTAGAGTACTAGCCTATGTCTTGTTTACGCCTTAGTTTTGGCTTTTTACTATTTATTACTCAGTTCAACTTTTGGCGCGAGTAACAATATGAAGGTCCATTAGCCTCCCCAGAAGACCATGCGAAAAATGAAGTGCCTGCATAAATAGGTACACAATCAAACAAAAGACAAAAGTTGTCGCGTAATTCCTATTATCAGTTGAGCATCATCTCTTGGCGCTCTTCTTGGCCAGCCGTCTGTAACGGTCCTCTCAATATTGTCAGATTTAAACAACCCTAGAAGAAAGAACGCCAGTCACTAAACTCTTTTGCGTGTGAGAAGATATATAGCCCTGTCGGCACTGTTGCATCCTACTAGTTCTACTGTGTCCATAGTTTCTTTTCTTGCAATCTGCATTGGCGAAGTGCAAATGCAATGGGAATATACTGCTTAACGTTAAAAGATACTCTTCAACAAGGGTGTCTCGTATACTACTTAGATAAGTGGGAAAATTCGCCTTAATTGGGTTTATTTTGCAAATTGATAAATTTTTATTATCCTTTCAGTTTTGCTCTAATTTTGTCGTTGCCTGGACATTTATCTGGGTCCCATTCAGCTAGTAGTGACTTTAAAAGGCATCACTTGCTTACTTAGTTAACACTATCATATAGGCAAAACAAATGACTTAATAATGGTCTCCTCAGTTGATGATAGCTTTCTTGCAGAAAGCAAGACTATGATATGCCTAGAAGGTAGACGGATTAAACACAGATTTACCCACCCACGGCAAATGTCCTTCATTTGTCAGACCAAGGTTCTGCATATAGCCATGAGAATTAGGCTCTTCTCCTTTTGGCGCTACTTACGTAGCGCTCTTACCCTAAAGAGGGTTATTATTAATTAAAATGCATAGTATTAAAAGGCAAAAGAGCCTAAGAGATTATTAGATTGACTTAAATACCACAATGTAGGGCGGAAGTGCAACCGGCGAAGATTTAATTTCCCAAGTAGCGGAAACTCAGTTAGAAAGCCATCATAACGCTACGGTAGCTCTAGTAGTTCGGTATTTAGTTTAGCCGGATTCCTTAGTGTGCAGGTCGTGTTTTTCCTTTGCCGCTTTGTTTTCCCATCGTGTCTGCACCTTCTGAGTACTTTGTATGCTGTACAAACATTCTTTCGTAATGGTTTGACATTGTGCTCTACGTCACCAAGAGCGGAACGGGAGGCTGACAAAAAGAAAACAATTATAATTTCCACAACTGATTACCGAATTCTGGAATTATATTTAGGGACAATTACAGCAAATAAATTAACTTACAAAGGCTTTCAATGAAAGGGTTAAGTTGATTTGTATTACAGAATCTAACTCGATCACACATTCTGTAAAAAGGCTATTACCAAAGGAAGAACAGCATTTTTGAAGAATTCTAAATAAAGCTGATTGTAGGATTGTATACAAGGTTATATGATGATGCTAACTAAGCCCAGGGAAGATTCCCCCTTCACATCAAACAGCTGCGCTGAATGAAGATAGATGACTGGGCAGGGCTGAAGTAAGGAAGAAGTAATAGGAAGGATTGGACGCGGAGTAATACCCATATTAATCCAGCCCCGATTACACATTTCAATAAATGGTCCTGCTAAAGTTCCTACAGATAGCGATTGACATTAAAATGCACTTGCTGTAGAGAACTTATCGGCTTTAAACAGTTCATAACCAATTGGTCTCGTCTCTCAACGCGACCCACAATTGGGGCAAAAGTGTTGGGGTAGGCCGATATCTCTAAAGTAGATATTTCCGCATTTCTTCTGGACTAGTGACAACCGTTGTCTACTTATGTTACTTTTAAATCTCCGACAAAGCACCGGATTTTGACGCGGAATAGGAATGCGGTGATCCGATATTTGACTTGAACACAATTAATTACAGATACGTTCCTGACATTGCAGGTTATATTTTTCCTAAGGCCTTTCCTGTCAATAATTTTTATAGCTACCCAGTTCCCTTCTGCGTAAATAATGAAACTTCAGTCGTGCCGGCGTGGCTTATTTAGACTGTGTGGAATAGCTTACTGCCCACGTGTCAGCGCTAATGCATGGGTCGCCATTAAAGATGAAGTCAAAACCCATCTTAGTGTGATGTGCTGCTTTTTCTTGCACAACTTTTATTTAATTGAAATGCTTTGATAGTCTGCTAAACATTGCGTAAAAACGCACTGGCGCTTAATTCACCGCAAATTGTATTAACGCTAGGCAGCATGGATTATTGACAATCTCAACAACCGCATGGTCCTCCCGAAGGATTCAAAATACCACGGTTCTCTTCGAGTTGTCAAAATAAATGGAGTCAGTGCCTTCGGAAAAATCTGCCTTAAGTGGAATGCGAGATAGAGTTTTCTTTTGATTTGTGTTTGAGTCCGAATTTTTGGGCCCCATTTGCAGATTCTTATAATATAATTTGTTAAGATCTAAAACTGGCAAATGTGCTGACCGAGGCATTTTGTTCCAGGAAATTTTTCGGTTACTATTAATGCCATTTTTGTGCAATCACCCGGCCCCAATTTTCGCTAGAGGACAAAAATGTACCTATTTTCATCCCTATTGGCTTGATTTTTCAAGCGTCCGTATGCTTTTATCGTATTTGTTAGGCTTGATTTTGCTGATCTTGTGCAATGGATATTTTCTCTTTCTCTTTAAATGGATCTCATTCTGTCTAGTTCCCGCCGGCTTTGTTTTTTTACGATTGTCACATTGTGTTTATCGTGCTACTGTAGTCATGTCAAGTGCTGCGTCTGACGATGATAAGATTAACACTTCGCTGCTTTCAGATGAAATTTTAAAAGACGAAGAACTAGAAGGGTCGCAGTCTCTTTGGAATCAGTGTTCAATATGTAATAATAGATTCACAGATCCTATAATTCTTAATTGCCTGCACGTATTCGATCGAAGCTGCCTTTTTCCACAGCAAAAATGCGAGGGACTAACGGAATTTATTAAATGTCCCAGATGTGACAGAATTTCCGGTGGAGTCAAGACGTTACCGCCCTACGACCTTTCTCTTGTCGATCAATCCGAACCGGCTGATGAGTATTTTGACGTTGTGACATGCTCCGTGTGCACTGAAGGCAAAGAAGCTCAGTATCGCTGCATCCAGTGTGATGGAACCTTGTGTTCCAGATGCCGCGAGACCCACAAGGTATTTTCGCATACCCTTGACGATGCTGTAGGTCATGAAATTATTTTCATCACACGAGGTATTGGATCTGACCGAAGATGACAAAAAGTCATTGAGTCGTGTGAATAATACTACACAAAATGGCAGTTCCTCAGACTGTGCTTATCATCCTCATGATACTTATCGCCTATTTTGCATGTCTTGTCGGGTAAGAAAGCGCCTTCCTTTTAAACGCTTAGGTCCCAATTTGCAATACTTGCTCCGAAATAAACCATAGTGGGCACGTTACGGTTGCCTTAAGTTCGATGTCCAAGCATGTTAATTCGATTGTTGCGGAAGCCATGAGAGGGTGCCTTCGAAATCGGGATGTTTTGCGAGGGGTGTCCGATACATTGCAATCAGTGCTGTCTGACTTAACACTTTCTCAGGATACTAATAAAAGTCAAATTGAGGAGATGGTGGACGTGTGGATGAGTGCCATTGCTTCCGTTAAGGTAACAATGTCTAGTCTCTCAACTGTTCCCTAGGAGGAGTTTTTGCAAAAGAATCGAGAGATTCACAGTGATATTGAAATGAGACTCATGGGCCAAATCGAGCAGATACGGAAGGTGATAGATCATATCGAATTTGCCAACGAGTTTTGTTCCAGCTACCTTCCCAAGTGTTCGGATTTACAAATCGGAAAACTAGTCAAGGTTGTAATGGGATGCTTGGAGTATCTCAGATCTGTCGAATTCCACTCTGATATGCCCTCGAGGATAATCTTTTCCAAAGCCCACGAGAATGTACGGAACTTCATTCGCACTAACTTTGGTACTTTTGATCTTCCATCTAGTCAGGATAATGCCCTTGTTCTCGCCTTCCCTCCCGATCGGTCGATGTCTCTTAGCGCTTACCCAATAAGTGATATTGCGAACGCGTTAAGCAACCTAAACGTTAACCGAAGTATATCCCATGATGACGCATTTGTGACGCAAAATTTGTCGCTACCCCTAAACAATGACAATGCCATTGATTCTATCAGAAGTTCAATGAACGGAAGTCTTTCACTTATACCCAGCCATCAGGAGCAAATGGATAATGCTACAACTAGCATTTCGCCATGGGGTGATCCAGGTACATTTGGAACCGTTTCTACGGGATATAAACCGGCAACATCTTCCATCAATGGTCTGCACATTAATCATGGAGGATTGAATGCAAACAATCTAAGCCTTCGTTCTTCACTCCAACTGGGTCTCCGCAGCGGTCTGGACCTCGACTTACCAAGTGTTCTGTCGAGACCAAGTCTGCCCAACAACTACAATCTCTCCCTCTACGAATACTCGAGACTGCGCTCCGCCAGGTGCAACAATATGGCGTTGCTGGTGAAGTTTGGAACTATGGGAAATGAACTAGGGCGTTTTAACTCACCTCATGGTTTTTGTCTTGGATTTGATGAGGAGATTGTTGTTGCTGACACCTACAATCATCGCATACAAGTTAGTGCCTTTCTTTGTGGTCGTTACTAGCTTATCTGTGTAGATATTTTCCAAAAGCGGTGAATACCTTTCCTACTTTGGAGTTTCTGGCAAAGTGGACGGACTGTTGTGGTTCCCTCGAAAAGTAGCCATAATTCGACAAAGCCAACGCTACGTCGTGTGCGACAGGGGCAACGAGCGATCACGAATGCAGCTTTTTAGCCGCAGCGGACACTTTGTTCGCAGAATACAGATAAAGTTCATTGATATTGTGGCCGGTTTGGCCATCAATCAACAGGGTAGGTTTAATGTTGTTGGCATTAATGCTGGCGCTCTTCAGGTCAAATTGTTGCTGTGGACAGTGTTACTCCTGGAGTCTTCGTTGTGTCAGAGGAGGGTGATCTAATTCATTGGCTGGACTGCAGCACTTTCATGAAGGAACCCTCGGATATCGCTATTCGTGGTCGCGAGTACTTTATCTGTGATTTCAAGGTATGTCGCCTCGGAGAAATTCTTTATTCTCTTTTTTGAAAATGTTTCTCCTGGCCTGCTTAGTCATTCGCGATATCTGACATTACTTGAATCGCAGAAGTAATATGTTCTGTTCGACGTTGGTATAAGTTGGTCCTTTGTATCACTTATGTGAGCGGTCTTGCGCAGTGAAACCAACACGCTCTGTGATGTGATGATTACACTTCAGATACTAAACACCGTGGTGCTTAGTTGGCTGCCTTCCCTCACTGCTGTAAGCTCAGTACGCGACAGGTAACATGCGTGATGTGCCGTTGTGTCGAAGCGATCGTCGTATCCTTCTATTAACACGTGCCTAACTGGTTTGTTTGTGTGTGTGGCCGTTATTGATTGCAGCTGTCTGGTGGATTACCTTTCTTGATGTTGGGTGTGTTCAGAAAGTATCAGATATTTGTAGCATTCATTGGACATTTGAACCCTAGAGTGTGTAATGGGGTGGTCATGATGACGGGGTGAATGGGAGGCGAAGGGAAGATGGTCGGGCTATTGGAGACATTTTCCTTTTCTGCGAAAGCTTATCTCCATAACTGAGAATAGATATAATTGTACCGTGGCTTTCTATGCAGGCTCATTGTGTCGTCGTAATACAAGAGGACGGGCAATACCTCCGAACCATTGGTGGTGAATCTATTACCGACTTCCCTAACGGAATCGATGTAAGTGGTCAAGGCGACGTTCTTGTCGGCGATTCTCATGGCAACAGGTTTCATATTGCGGTATTCACTGGAAAGGGCGACTTAATCAGTGAATTTGTCTGCATGCAAACCAAAGTTAGCCGTTCCTGTTGCCTGAAGATCACCAATGAGGGTTTTATCGTGACGCTAGCGCGGAGCTCCAACAACGTCCTCATCATGAGCACACTCTATGTCAACTAAATTGATCAATTATTTATTTGATGGATCCTTCGTATGACGACTTCCAAACCAGAATTTTGATTTACCCAGGTGTGCGGATTTTGCATCACCGTCTTTTATTCGCCGTCAATTTGTCGACCAAGCAGGCGGATTCATGGATCTGCCAGCTGTGAGAGATGAATTTTTCTCCTTGCTTTTAAATCTAGGCTAGCATTTTGTTTTCCCTTCGAATGTTTTGAACAATATTTTTGAGATACATTTAATTTTTCAATTATTGTCAACACCCTCCTTCCTCCCTACTATTATTATGTGTTCCCCCTCTCCATCTCTCCCCTCCACCGAGTTTATTAAGTTGTTTCTTTTATGTCAATTTTTGAATGTGTAGTTTTTTTGCTTTGATTATTAAAAAAGAATGTGCTCGGTCATTACACACAGCCATACGCCTGTTTGTCTTTGCGAGATCTTCCAAAGTGTGCCTTGACATTCACATGAATTACCTTAAACACATGCACATGTTTTATGAGCGCGTTCATCATCCATCCAAGCTACCGGATGTTACTCGGTAATCCATCATTAACTGCATTTCTACTCCGGTTACATCTGGCATCGCATTCCACCTTCACTGTACTTTCGCCCTCACGTCTTGGTGGCGGCAGACGCCATCTCGATGACCTCCCAGCCGCAAGTTTAGCAGTAGTGGCCTTAGTAGAAGCAGCGGTGTTGTTGGCCATTAGTCAAGCATAGATAGACTTAGATGCACATGCGCCGCGGGAGCCATCAGCCGCGTCCAAATCTCATATCTCCCTCATCTTGCCTTCGTGACATTGCGACAATCCCGTCCTCGACCTCGTTTCGTCTTATCTCCACACTTTTGTATTTGTACACTTTAAGAACCGCTTTTATCCTTTTTTTGCCTTTTAAAGTTTACATTTGTGATTGTATTCATTGCAAATACTTCGTTTATAACTATGTACTATTCTGAACATCATTCCGTCTTGCCTTGTTTAAAAAGTGTACAGTGGGTATGCAATACGTCCAACTGGTAGTCTATTCAAGCCATCCTCGTTCTTTTTGGAGCCGTACCGCAAGAATGGACCGCTATTTCTGACAATATTGAAGAAGCCTCTGCGCACTGCAGTTGAATCTTCCCTTACCCTCGTAGCAGGAGTTTTGAATGAAATTTGCACCGTGGTTACAGGCGTATAATGTCTGCTCTGGGTGACTGTATTAGCAGGAAACAGTGGTAAGTAGCATTGGGGTCGTGGGATGCCGGAGCGCAGGCTTCCGCAGTGATTTTTGACTCGACATTTCGTGTCAACATTAGCCCTGGCACGATTCGCACCCGGTGTCATGAATCTTTCAGCCTCTAATCGGTCCATTTTCAGTTCGGACACTACCTTCTTTATTTTTCCAAATGCCCCGGTGGTACCTTAGCCAACTATGAGGGCGGTGCTGGAAATAAACAATCCGAAGTTGGCCTGCTGCTCGTGTAAAGTCATAATGGAGGGCCGAGTGCCTTGTTTAAATAGTACTACTGGTGGAAAATTTGTTCACCTCGGGGTTCTTCTCTTCAAGGTTTGTGTGCGTACTATTTACGTCTCCTCCTGTCGCACCCTCAGTCTGGTTAATTAATGTGAAACTTAGAGCCGGCATTCCTTTTACCAGTGCGAAAATTGCCTTTCATCCATAAAAGGTGCTGCGTGATTGGGCTCTGGTTGGAGTTGGTGACACTGTTAGGGTTCGCTCACGTAATTGACAACGGTTACGTTATATATCAATTCGCCCCTCCCCCCCCAAATTCAGTACTCCAATTACTACGTAAAGAGACCTTTGAGACTGTCACTAACGCCTCTTTTGTTTCCTATTAAACGTGCTACAATCTTAAAACTATTATTTACGACTACTACTACGAGGATTCGACATTCCAATCCGCGTTGCTGAATTTCTGCAGTTTTCAATGGCATGCAATGTGGAGGAGACCCGTGATCAGAGCTCGCATTCTAAACAAAATGAGGTACAGCGACCATTCAAAGCCCATTCTTAGGACTGCAAATAAGTTAAATCACCCAATGGCTGGTGCAACACTATTAAACACGAGCACATAGAGACGGCATGAAGTAATTTTCGATATACCCGCCCCTGATGCTGAGTGAAGAATTGGAATATTACGATCACGGACACAATCTGTACATAAAAGCATGTGCTGCTGTTGAAAAGAAAAGGTAGACTGACGCAGGCCAGTAAAAAAAATCAAAATAAGTAAAAGAATCATTTAGAAAAGGCAACGGAACTTATTTGTCCCTTAAGAAATCCACCAACCTTTACAATCTTCGCATCGTCTTACTCAAGGAGTGACCCCCAAACACAATCACAATACATCGTTATTTACTCCTTTTTTTTACATTTCCTAAAAGCGAATAATCACAAAACACGAACACACGCACGACTTGCTCGAAGGTGTCTAGCACTCCATCCCCTCTGCTGCGGTGGGGAAGCTTTCACAGTGCTTGTTCTCCATCACCTGCGACATGGAGTTCGGACTTGAGGCGTCGGGATTGCCCAGGTCACCCTCACCAATTCCATTCGTTGCGGTTGCTGCTGTCATCGTCGGTTGCTGCTGATGATGTTGGGAGAACTGGTTGCAGAGCGGGTAATTAACGGCATTAGAGTTGGTGAGGTGGGGATAGGGGAAGGGGTGCACTTGAGCCTGATAGCCGGGCAAGAAGCCCATGGTGTTGTTTCGCAGGTTTAATAGTTGGAGCGCTGAATCTGCCAAATAAATGCCTGTAGAAAAGTATGTCAAGCTTGCGAAATAGCATTAATTCCCATCAGTTCGTGCTATTATACAAAGCGGTTTTGAAAATCGGAGCTAGAGTGCAATTGATTGTGCAATTAATGACGCCACATGATAAAGGTACTGTTACCACCGGGTAAAGATTCACCGCACAACGGCTTTAGTAGTTTTTTGGTAAGTCACCTAAGTAAACGCGTCAGTTCCATGGTGAATGCGACATGCAAATACTACAAGAAACCGAATTTAAAGTTTCTGCTAAGTGGATGAAGGAGCTCCAGCTAATCAGTCGCCAAAATTACCTCATTAAAAGGTCTCAATTTTACATGACAAACCGATTTTTATTGAGCCTTTAAGAAATTAATAGATATATCCAATTTAGCATTAAATAAATGCTAAACACTACGAAACTGCCGCCCTAATGCGGTTGAGTGCGTTGTTGCCATTAACCATATAAGCACCTCGGAACAGGTAGTTTGATGGCGAAAAACCAGCTAGTCATGTCATCTAATTTCTTAAAAAGTCGCCCTCTGGTGGGATTAATAAAAAAGGTTTAGGCGTCGAAATATTTTTATACAGCCAGATAGAAAAAAACCGCTATTCACCTAAACATAGAGAAATGGTGAGCTATAATTATTCAAATCCAGCACAAATCTCGATGTGTTCAATAGTAAGTGGTAGGTGCTGTGAAACATGGAATCGTGTAACCGAAGCTGCTAGTGATCAACTATGCTCACTGATGACTGAGATGAGTAAATGTCCGAAAAAAAATCCGAAAATAGGGCATTTTCGCATTCACGGCTAAGAAGGTTTTTCAAGAACCTGAAATATGTGTACGCGTTGAGATGAATAACAGGAATTTCCATAAACACTAAGCATAATTTACGAGCTTAGCTAAATCCGATTAAAGATGACTCGTTGCTTCTCAGACATTGTGGTAGTCATGGAAAGTGGGCAACACTAGTTCAATGTCATTTGCTTCGAAAACGTCAGACCCCCAAGACTGGTCTAACAGCAAAAAAAGGGCTATTTATTTGGTCTAACTATGCATCAATTAAACGCTTGTCATTAAAAAAGGGATAAAATTACATGAATTGATTTTGCTAAGCGGCGAATACAAGATTGCAGTACCTAACAATTTAGGGAAAGATTTGCAGTGCCTCAAAGGGGATCGTCAACTACAGAATTGTGGAAACTGCTTCTGAAAATAAAATTTGATCACTACATGCTTTAAAGCGTTCCAATAATTATAAAGTAACAGATAAAATCTTCAAAAGTAGCCTACATTATGTCCTTAAGCTAAACTAAACCTCAGATCAAGCCGAAAATGACCTGAAAAACCAACTTACATTTGACGAGCTGCTGTTGTTGAAGAATCCGTTGCAGAATGAATGGTTGTAAGGGCTGGTGCGTAAGGAATTTATTCCCATTTTGAAATTCCATTGGATTGAAAACTCTGCTTCCTATTCTATTAACACCAGTACCAACAGGAAACCCCAGGGAATTACGTAAAGGGACTCCGTGAGAAACGTAGTCATAACTATCCATCGGTTGTCTAGAATATAAGTACGTAGGAAGAAACTTTACATCATATCACCGAATTGGTCACTGTCCATATCTTCATAGCTGGAATCAAAAGAGCACTGTTGTCCCAGAGATCCCAAATCTAGCAAGGAGAAAGTGTAGGCTACTACTCGCTTACTTTGCGCACTTCTCTGTGCTTCTGAATCAATGGAGTTAAAAGAGTCCATTTTTTGGCAAATAAAGGCGCTTGCTGAAGCCGCATTTGTCTAAATTTAACAATCTTTTGCTGGTTTTAGTAACTCACCATGGCTCTAAACCATCGAAAGGTCTAGTCATGCCAAAAATTATTAAAAATTAAATCCTACATACATGTCCAATGCTTGCTTGATTAAATAAATGTGTCGGATATCGAGTTGTACAACCAGTGTAGTCTTTTGGTGGACAAACGCTATCTAGGGGACTCGCTTGTACTTCTGACAACGCGGCAACATCTTTTTGATTTAAAGCTTGCAAAACAACCTTTTCATGCTCCCCGCTGTCACCCTTATCAACAGCCGTACTTAAATTTGAAGTTGCTGAATCAGACGATAACTAAATGTCACTATTGATAAGTAATTGTTTTACCTCTTGTTGTTGACTATCGTTATCTTGAAACCCAACAATCGCAAGCAGCTTGTTGAATGCCGTAAGATCATTTGAAATGTCGTCATATTTTTTCCGCACATGTAAGTCATTTTCAATTTCACGAAGAGTGTAGATTCGAACGCATTTTTCTTTAGATTTTATTAAAGTATTTTTTACTTACGTTTAGATTTAGCCACTGGGCCTGATGTGCTGGCAAAAGGTTCGCCAACAGTCATGTTAGGTCCTTCTTCTAAAAAATAGCTGTTATGAATCCGTTACTTACCCACGGATCTTGAATTAGTGCTTTTCTCGCTGGTTTTTTCTTGGGTCGTAGCTACATGTTGACATAAGGACAACAAAATTTTATCTTTGTTAGAAGAATCGATACACTCAATTTTGCAAATGGCTTGATCATGAAATTGAGGCATTTTCATATCATCAAAATCCATCTGATCATCAATATTTTTAGGTCCCTCTGTGTACCAGGCGGGTTTCTCAGTGAGCTAAATTTTCGTTAAAACGAAATGATATACATCAAAATGATTCTCTTGAAATTCGCTTGTTTCTATCCGTTTATCACGCGAGCCTCTTTTGCTTAGTATTCCGCTAATGTGTTTTAAAGGCTGAAATGGGCTATTTCTTGGCAGCCTTGCAGGAACATAATCTCTGCGATTCCGGTCTGTTGGTGTACCGTACTGGGCGACTTAAACGGATAAAAGTAATGGAGGATTTACATGAAACATGATCATTTCTATGGCTGTGGAATATAAAATCCTTGCCATTTTTTCTTTTTAAGAAGCGGTCGATGATAAACACCGGAGGCTTATACTCTTTGCACCTTTTCTTTAGATCCAAAAGTTCGAACTACACAAGTTGTGGCATAGGAAGATACTCCTACTCGGGAATAGACACGCCTTTCGAAAGCTGCTTGCTTCAAAATCACATTCTTTATTGCGTCATCCAGTAAGGTTACTTGCATGGTTGCATGAGTAATATTTATCACGAAATCTTGTGTTCGTTTTAAAAAGTGTGCCTCATTTATGAAGATAAACCAACACAAAAAAGCGGAATAAAATGACACGCCTACGCACAAGCATTAATGTATAAAAGATACTAGCCAGAGTTAGGGTTTTATTTTAATAGAAAAGTGGGGTCAAAAAACAGATTTTGGATCATTTACTAGAACGTCTAATAGTAAATCTTGGCATGTACTTTTGAATAAAGACCAAAAGATTTACCTACAAATTTTTCTGCTGCCACGTGAGGTAAGCTCAATAAAGTAAAGTGGTTTTAACAAACGTCTAATGATTTTTAAAAGTTTCTTTCAGCCAAGTGAGTGAAAGCTGACGTACACTTTTTTTGGGATGGTACGTATTAAATAACGACAGCCTAATCCAAGTGGGCTTTTTGGTAAACGTTTACTTACTACTCCTTGGTTTTTCTCGGAATTGCACTAAATTTTTGCCATATTTTTGATACTCTACCCGTTAAATGAAAAAAATGCCTGGCTTTCAGGTTTAAAAACGCGAGAGCAAAGACGTTTAACATTTTTGGTCAGGTAATTTTTTGTGTTTTTAGGACAACAATAGTCTTTGATTTTGATTGCACTTGTTGGTAGCTCATTCTCTGACCTTGAATTAAAGAGAATTTTTGAATTGGGCTACACAAAATCGCTCACAATCATTATTGCTCTTTAGATTATGCTTGCTGGGATTACTAACAAATCTATTCAACTTTCCGACGTTGACGACGTTTTTGTAAGCCCTAACAAGCGTCGAAAAGGCAATGCGTCCTACAAATGCAAGTCTGAATTTCCCATAAATGATATCGTTGATACAATTGAGCCCATTAATCTCACACATAAAATTGATGATGAGAACCAGCAATTTAAAGAAAGTGACAACATTAGCTTACCAAGCTCTATTTCTAATTTTCAACTTAGCTTGGCAGCTCAGCTCCAAAATGTTGACTTTAATACCAATGTCAACACTACTCCTGAAGTTACCACACGACAATCTATCCCCTTCGTCCTGCCCTTTTTGCCACGACGATTTCCTTTTTTACTTCCATTTGAAAATTTAACAACTGGAAATAAAGCAGAGGCTATCTTAGAACAAAGGCCGAAGTCATCTCACTTGTATCACGAATTTGCTCAAGTGTCAAAATCGTTTTCCTTCAGTCCATGTGGAACAGTTAACAAAAATACCTTCGCGTCAAAGGAGAACTCAAGTGTTTTGCAACTTCTTCACTCATGTCTTGAACAAATCCCACTTCCACCAATTGGATCGGATTGCCAAGAAATTCTAAATTCACTTTACACTTATACAATCTTTCAGGCAATAAATTTTCAGAAATCTGTTCTGCGCTACCTTACAGAATTAAATGAAAAAACGCGGCCTCGACCATCTGAGCCTAAGGATCCTTGGAATTTGCATTCTAATGATAAATCCCTTCAGCCAAATTTGTACGCATTCTCTCGATCCACCTCTTCAGATTGCAAAAGCCTCGAGAGTACTTTACTAGCTAACGATTCTGAAAGCGGTGCCGCAATTGATTTACGAGTTCGTCCTCCCAAGTCTGCATTAGACGGCTGCTCCATAAATTTTGGACGAGCTACCTTACCACACGATTCTTGCATACAGGAATCAAGTGCTGATTGTCTGGACAGTGGTCGTATTTCCGGCTTTCTATCTCATGCATTTAACCGTCGATCACCTTCACTCTCCTCCTACCCAAACGATCTCTCTGACGCCTTTCCCCCGCGTCATCTTTTTTCTCGATTTGCTGTGCGAAGCCCATCACGTTGCTTGAACGGTAGACGACTAAAAACTACCTCGTTGAAAAATAAGAAGCCAAGAAGTCTGGGCGGATATTCCCCATCAAGTTCCACCCCTGGACGAGATAGTCAATGCAGTGGACCTCTGCTCTCCAAGAAACCTAGCTTTCGAGGAACAAGCGAGGAAGAGAATGAGGTCTGTCCCCATTTCAAACCCGTCGAACAGAATGTAAGTTTGCAGGTGTCCGCTATTTGCCAGTTTGCTTGCTTAAAAAGATCCTTGGTAAATGGACCATTAAATAGAAAGAGCATAGTGCAAAGAAAGCTTCTTAAACCACCTATACACCATTTTTTCCTAGAGTTTGTTCAGTAATTCCTTTCCTCTAATCCATACCCATGCTCACTGCTCACATTTTGTTAGACAATTTTTGTTCGCAGTCAATCTGCGTAGCTTTCCAAGGAGCCTACTCAGCTCAGTGTTGTTTAAAGGGGATTAAGGCGCATGTAAATTGCTTTACTACACTGCATTCTCATGGCCGTGCAATCTTTCCAATGAGCAAATGGCACATCCTTTCACCAATGCTCTAGTTTTGAGCGCACAAAATTGCACATCTATCCCTTTTATAAGGAAAAGTCCTAACTCAAAATAAGTAATGCCGCTTTCACTAAATCTTTAAATTAAAGAACTGTAAAATTTCTAATAATGGGCTGGTAGCATTCGTTTCTAGCCAAAGGAATATATTTGACAATGTTGGCATGATTAATATGACAGATTTTTCACATGATAGAAAAGCGGTGTTAGTTAAGAACTGTCCTAGAACAATATGTATGGGTTTAAAGATAGGTGGTGAGCCTTGCTGAGGCGTTTGGATACAACTCCAATCAGTGAGGTAGCAAAATTTGCGTCTCAAATCCAACACACATCTATAGTACATGGCTTTCATATGTCCTAGTGTCAAAAAATCAGGCTACTGGGATGCTCTCTTTGATTTTCACCCCGGAACGCCCAACTTTGACATGCTCTTCGCCTAGGCTGTGGTTAATTCCTCACTATACATGGCACAAATATATACACACATCTGCCCTCCTTCCCCATACTCCTGCCTCCAGAGCCCCCCAACTATGAAAAATTATAGGAAGGAAATGTTGGCCCTTCCAAAAACATTCCTTACTTCTCAGCTTATAAACTCACCTGGACTCGGCAGCAGTAAACACTGTACCTAGGTTGCAGAATGAGTAGGCAGAATTCGTTGTGCCTGTATCTGACTGAATATATCTTATAATGTCTTATTTCGATCACTTTACACTTAAACGTCTTATTTGTCTACAAATGTGCTTATGTCTGTGCAAATCACTTCCTTGTGACAAAGTAATGAAAGAGTGAGAGTGTGTATGTGCGAGAGATAGGAAGAGAGAGCACAAGAGAGGGAGAGAGAGAGAGTGAAAGAGACCATATATTTTGAGTTGGGAGAAGTTAGTGTTGTGCAATTTCATGTGATCCACATCTTGTAACCCTTTGAAGCTTCATGCCTCAGCTACTAGGCATTTTTGTCTAGTAGGTCAAAACGCCTTGTTTTTCACAATCCGCCTCCTGCCACAGTGAATTCAAATCTCAATCTGGGCTTACTTTCTACAAACCCAATATGATAGGAAATTGTAGCTCTGTAATTCCATTTTTCATTGAATTGTTTACCTCGTGTTTGTTTATTTGTTGATAATTGGTATCTTCGTTCATAAAATCAAGACGTTGGGGTTTCAGTTGAATAGACTTCCCAAAGTGAGTTACTTGAGACACCACAGACAGAAAAATCTGTGGTCTACTAGATCACCAACCACGGGGACGAACTGTTAAAACGCTACAAATGAGGATCATTTTGATGCTACTTGGCTAATTTCCCACACAATGTAGTTTTCTTTTTGAAAAAAGAGCAAATTTAAATATGCCACCAATGTGCCAGCTAAATTGCCTTCATTTAATATCTTAAGCTTTAAAAATATTTTCCTTACTTCACGAATAATAAGTTGCATGAAAGTAGACAATGAAGGTTACAAAACTATCCCTGAATAGTAACTTTAAGGAGGAATGATGTGAAGAATTGATACCCTTGATACCCTTCCATCAGCTCGTGATAATGAGACCGGTAATACGTGCATGCATGCAGTTTTATACACGTAGTGTTTGATGTCGGAAACGTTAGTCATGTCAAATCCACGCTTTCAAAACCTCCTGCATAATTTACGCCACCGTAAGAGCAGCAGGGAGAGAGAGAGAGAGAGCGAGAGCGCGAGAGAGAGAGGGAGGGCAGCAAGAAACGGAACGAGGCTATTGTCCATTTAGTCTGCACGCGAGCACATAGGGGACATGAGTGCGCGCTGGCGCGCACACGGTCACATACACGTCCGCGCTTTCGTCCACACATATATATGTATAACATCATCCTTTCCCCCCTCTCTCCTTCCCCTTAGCCTCCTATGACTGACTGGTTGGAAGCGGAACATAGCAACACACACACACACGCACACGCAATATCTTGACCGGATGTTACCACCTTGCAGAAGAAGGTAGCAGGTAGAGAGGAGTGCGTGCATGCACTGCGGCTTCGCAAAGGGGCGTTGGTGATGGTGATATTGGTGGGAGAGGAGGAGGAGGAGGAGGAGGAGGTGAAGGCAACTATCCTAGGACACTGCTGCCATGTCACGCAAAAGAGGCACGAACGTATGTGCACAAGTGTGTCTGCTTCCGTTGTGTGGTGTGGTGAGGTGCTGTCTCTCATTATACTGCCTCCCTCCGCCCCTCCGCTCCGCCTCGCTCCGTCCCTCATTCACCCACCCTCATACAAGGGCGAGAACAATAGCGGCCGGAAGTGTCAGGTGAAAACATGAGGTTTGGACTAGGAAAAAATGTTTTGTGTATGTATGTGTGCAAGTACTTCGCCTTAATTGTCAACCTCCTGAGGTATTGTTTCCTCAGAGACGGTCACCCACAGGAAAGGTAGAGATTGAGAGAGAAAGAGGCTGTTTAAGCTTGAATTATTCAATGCAGGGAGGCTTGTTCACACATCCTCTTCTCTAAGACACACACACACACACACATCCACTCATATACGCACGCCCTGTGCAATTATAAAACCATTATCGTCTTATTTAATGATCCTTCTAGGTATATGGTGAGACCTGTCATCATTAACTCAAGTACAGGTGAATCCTGTGCTCCAATGCGGTGATTTAGAAGTAGAAATGGCATTATCAACACCCAAGGAGACATGTTAATCAGACTCTTGAACAACTTCTTGGGTTCCTCTTTCACTATTTCTGCCGTAATTGATTGCTTGTTAGTGAGGTATGGTCCGCCTCACCCAATCCTACTGGAAAGTTAAGGTGGGGCACCTAGCCGTGCCTATGAAACATTGGCTCGTCAATATGGATTCGGCAATTGACCCCAACTAGTGTGCCTCCCTCTCCCTTCAACAATGGAGAGACCATAAAAGAAGGGCCGTGTATTTTCAAGTGGAAAGGACATCCCTCTCCTCCCTCATCTTATGTTGATTTTGCAGCGGTGAAAGTGATGGATCAGTTGGCTGGAAGAGTGGAGCGTTGTTGAAGAATGCATTCACCTATTCTTACAGCTTTACTCTTGAGTCCACTCTGAGTATTAAAAGTGGAAGGATAAGTAAAAATTTGTTTCTAAAAGGAAAATGCAATGAGTGTGCAAGTAATTCCCTCTGACATAGGTCCATCAAATCCGTGTCCTAAAATCTACAAGAAAACGGATTTTCTTTAAGATAATCGCAATGTCACGACGTGTTGTCATAGTTGGGAGAGTCGTCCTGTAATATAACTTCAGAACATCAACATTTTTCAACTGACTTATTTGTTGATATCGTTGGATACCTGTGCAATTTAACGGTCCAGTTGAATCAACTATTGTCGCTGTATAGGCTTACAGACTGTCATTAGCACATCCGCGACTAGTGTCACACATATATGACACTCATTGTTACAAACCCGTGGCATGTGTTCTTTGTCTCTCTCCAATAGTTGAACAAATTAGCCCATGTGGCATGGTGCTCATTTGAGTTTCAAATATTAAGACCAATGCAGAGGGCCATCAAGCTCAGGAACAATAAAATAATTGAATGGAGACAACCTCTTTTGCTCCTGGACCCTAGAGAACGTCTCTAACTTGTTTACTGCCTTTGGAGACCGTTGGCGAAATTCGGTGTGACTCTCCTAGACTGCCTAAAGCTTTGCTTTACCTGCCAAAACAGATGACAGGACCCTCTCCCAAGAATGTCGCCTCATGTCAATTCACCCCTTTTCTTCTCACCTCGTTCCACTTCACGTCAGACCACCATCTCCTCTTCTCAATCTTCTGCTGCCACCCACTAATGTTTTCTTTTTTTCCTGCGATGATGATGTGTGTTCGGGTGAAGTTTAGATAGACACCTCTTACCTCTCACCCCCAATCTTTGCTGATCTCCCTAAGGCGATTAGCACCATTAGTGGCAACAGTGGACAGTCAGGCAAGCACATACGTACCACACACACACACACACACACACACACACACACACGATTTCCTCTGACACCTGTCTATCCAACCACATTCATCTTCGCAGCCTGTCACCCTCGAACTGGGTGGGAAAGTGACACTGTGGGGTGAAGAGGGGGAACGCATGAATCCTTTTCTACCCCTTCCCTCCTCTCACCCTCTTTCCTAATTCACCACCTCCCCAGAGTAAGACTTCAAGACCATGGATAATTTAAGAGCCATGACAAGTAGACATTGAGCACTAGCAGCGATACCCAACCCCTTTGTCCATCCAAGTACGAATCCACCCACCTACCTACCTGGTTGCGAAGTATTCGTGCAAATTATACATTATTCAGGCGTTTTCTGCGTGTGTGCTTGAGAGTGTGGCTGTCTGACTTGGGCTGACAACCATTGCTAGATGGTTTTTTCTTCACTCGAGTCACAAAAGGGGGCATTAAATACCCTAGGGCACTGTCTGTAGACTCGTAATTCGCTTCATTTCTTTTCCTCTAAAACAGAAGCGGTAAATACATGCAGAAATACTAATTAAAGGAGTCCGTGGTGCTTGGAAAATTAAATGATTTCCGACTGCCTTTGGACAATAATTCAAAGGCAAAGTTAAAAACCAAAGAACGATAAGAGTCATAAATCCCTACTTTATCCTGGTGGACAAATCCACAGGAATAAATTAGATTACACCCACATCGCCTTACATGTGAGTTGTAGCGCTCCTCATTATCGCTGCCACCACGCCATCATCTCGAGATGGGACAAAAACAAAGCTGCAGTAGCAGTGGCAGGAGAAGGAAAAAATAAGACACACACACACACACACACCCATCACTTAATCCACTTTAGTTGTTTGCCAAATTCGATCAACTATAATCACTCCCCATTTCACACTCACACGGCACACACACTTCTATTTCCCTCCTCATGGCAGGCTTGCGCCACCCACGTGCGGCCGTGCGTGCGACCGTGCGGACGTGTATGTTTACGCACGCGTGGACAGACGTACGCACTTGCGGTAATTTCAAAGACGACACACAGGGCCCCCCACGCGACAACCAGACACGCTCCGCTAGGTTGGCCTTCTCACTCACTTCGTTACAGCCTTTCAAACCGATTTGGGGGAGGGGGGCGGGGAGATGAAGTGGGGGGAGAAGAGCAAATTTTTTGCCTATGTTGTCGATTCCGGCCATCATACACACACACACCTCGCACTCACTTTCTATGGGGAAAGCTTGTTCGTGTGAAGTCCCTGTTTTTCTCATCGAGAGAACAAAAAGTGAGGAAGAGGCAGCAGGAAGGAGGGGAAGGCAGGGAGGAGTTTGGGAAGCCCACTCTCAGAAGGTCGTTTAAAACTCCCCTATTTAATTGACCGCAGAGCCAACTTTTAGGCGGCAAAATATTCTCTTGCTATGTTGTCTGCTCTACGGCTAACAGCAACAAGCTAACCACGTGCGCTTTTTGGCAAGTGCATTTGTATGATTAAACGCCACAATCGGCTTGGTATGGACTTTTCCTTGACACATTCTCCAGAAGTGGCGCATTAACATTGACAAACGTATGTGCTGCCTCCACCTCTCTCCACACACGCACACACATTTATTCACCTTATAAGCAATTTGAAAGATATTCATTAGTCTCTCACAATTACTGCAATAAGAGCTCATGTCTGTTCATGTGATTTGAGGAATGATGAAATTACTGACTTTATCATGTGCTACACGGAGTGAAATAGAAAGATAAGGAGAGAAAATGAGGAAATTTCACAAACCTTAAGTTGATTTCTCATGCCTATAGCAGTTATTTCTCACCCTTTTTTTGCGTAACTCTTCCCATCACTCTTCCATACTGCAGTTTCATTAATTGCGGGTACAAGTGGTACCGTGATTCCAACATTTTCTTGTCCTTCTAAGGGTGAACAATGATAGGAAGTTAGCGAAACTCGTAAATACATGTGTGTGCATATCCATACACACACACACACACATGCACACACACTAGTGTCTTAAAATGGTGCACTCATATCAAGATGAGGTGTGACCAGGCGTTTTCTGCCTTTTTATGACTCTATAGTCGACACCTTTGTGTTAACACATGCTCATCCTTAATGGATATTACTCATGTATACACCTCAAGTGGAGTCTTTATCACTTCGCCTATCCTCGGCGGTAGCAGACTTTACACAATGCTAGAGGTCCATTCAGTCATTTTGGGCATCAATTAAAAGGAAAAAAAGACCAACATTAGGTTTTAAATTCCCTTGAGTGAGTATTGCGCATTGCATTGGCCACACGTTTGCATGATCTGTCCTCCCCATTTGACATGACGCCAAAATTAATGCTGCATACTGCTGCTGTCATGTCTAATTTGTCAGATGGTTTGTCAACCGGAGAAAATCCTGTCAGACATCCGAAAAAAACATCATCCTATCGGATGTAAATTATTGCCGAAACATGTAATATTCATTGCCAAAAAAAAAAGAAATACAAACAGGGATGCAGAAGATGCACAGACAGGGTGTCACGAGGTTGGATTAAAGACAGTGCAATCAAACCCACACAACTGGTAATGATGATTTTTACTACACCTACTCTCCCTTTTGTGTGTCGATCCTACAACTGCACGTGACTGGCCCATGTAAGTATCCACGTACGAGTGCTTGTGTGTGTATATTACCTGGTCAAGATTGTGGACCGCACCTTGATGTCATGATGTGGGACTTCCCGCATAAGTCAATGTGGTTTGAGATGGCTGTTTGCCTTTTCTGCTTGTCGACAAACTAAAGTGAAGGAACAGCAGCAGTCAATCACTTCATTCACAGACGTACACACGCACGCCACTACCAACGCCAGTCGTCCTCGGTGCAGCTGACTGGCTCTGACATGGGGAGTGGTATCATCAAGGCGCCTGATTCTGTTGCATTGGAAGGAAGAAGAGGAGAGGAGGACAGGAGTGAGGAGGAGCGAGCTGTACGGCTCCTCTCCGTTCCATCCCCTCTCCACCCTGCTTCTGGTGGGTCGTGAGAGCTCGTTTGCTCACCCACTCGCTCATCTGTCTGTTTGCACGAGAGGTGTCACTCATGACTATCACTCTTCTTCCCCTTCCTTTTCTCACCTCTCTCCCACACACACGAGCTAGGAACAATTATTTTTCCCCTTCTTGTAGACTAGATTACTGTCGCTTCATGTCTTAAGGGCTGAGAATGCATAACAAAAGCTAGATATCTAGCCCTCAACTGTGCCAAAAGTTCTTTCACCATAATGTTGTGGCTTCGCTGAATCATCTAGTAGTAAATTTCCAGCATAATTGAGTCTAGAAGAGCCAAACTTTCATGCAATGTAAATAAGAAAATACCGTTTCGTAGTTATCGCTGGTAAGTAATGACTATATGTGCCCCATCTTTGGAAAATCGTTTCAAAGTCAGTTTTCTTTTCTTAATATAAAATAGATCATTCAAGTTGAAAACTCCGTTCCCGAATTCGGTTCGACTTCAAATCAGTACCATATGCTAGTCACTAATAAGTAATATAGTGGCACCATATTAAAGCGCCATGTAAGTATACAAAAAACTTAAGCAAAATCACATATGAGTCACGGTCCAGATTATTCATGTGTAAGCTATGTGTAACTCCATTATCTTCTCCTTTTTAATCAACAATATCTACGTCAATTTTGAGTGAGGGAGCCCGGGATTACTCTTACACACATCCTTCATATACGCAAATGCTCTCACCGAGTTCTTATGCACGATTTTCTCAGATATGTCTGTTAACTTCCATCTCCGCTTCTTGTAAATCATTCACTTAAATAGTGCACTATCCAGATAAAACATCAAGAATGTTAAAACATACATTACTCAGCTAAAGTGAATTAAATTACGAAAAAAGAATGGTGTATAAGGTATGCATATTTACCACGTTTCAAACGTGCTTCCAGACCTGGCAGAAATCATGATTTAATGACAATATAACCACTTTAATCTCTATTGTTTCATTTTATTTGAAAATAACAAATTAACTATTTAGCACAATGCATCCGAAAGTCCTCGTTTTATCCTCAACAGTTTTTCCAAAAATGCACGTTACTTTGAGGATGGGGGAATTTCCAAGAGTGACTCCCCTTTACGCTACTATTTACATATGCGCTTTTAGTAAATAAAAACACCAACTCAAACCTTAGTATGGAAGCATTAGCAACCAACTAATAGACTGGTGATAATTTTTAAAAAAAAAATTTTAGAGAATCACGATTCCTCCCAACTTGGCAATTTAACCAGACATTTATTTTAAAACAACAGAATTGGAACAACTGCATATACAGTAGTTTAAACAAAATTCCTCAAATCTGATGTCCTTTTTTAGGTAATTCTCAAATGTGTTTAAAAAATGCGGTTCTAATTTGACTTTATTACACATCAAAATCCATTGAACATAGAAGAAGGCCTATTTCATGCATTATACTCCATTTTGGCGCTTCAGTAACTCCGTTCGCATTACAAGAAGGGCTCTGGCACACACCTTTGAAATTAGTTTTAGACATTCCGCCTTACCCATAATCGAGCCAAACCTCTTCATGTTTCTGCCCCTATTAATCACCACAGCACAAATGCGCGTGGCGTTTTAATTTCGCTAACAATGTGTGTGTGGGTCGGTGGGTGGTTGGTTGGGTGGATAACGCGTTAGGCAAGCAGACAAGAGGGGGAGGCAGGGGATGAGGGTAATGGAGGTAGTGATGAAGTCTAGGGGGGTGCAGAACGTGGCACTCAGCTGTACCCATGTGCGGCCGCATCGCATCACCTCGTATTGTATCGCGACCACCCATTGTGATCAGCCAACAGGCATCCCCTCTCGCCTCATTTCCCCGTGCTCAGCTTTACCAACTGTGCCGTGCTGTTCCGTGTCGTGCCTTGCCGTGCCGACGGACGACCACTAATTCTGATTAACTTGTACCCCAACCACCACCAGCGCCGCCACCATCGTCATCTTTGCCTTCCTCACGGGGATAATTAAAGTGGAAGTCCCGCTCTCTGTGCACACGCAATTTTTCGCGCCAGAGGTCTTTTTTCCTCTCCTCTTTCTCCTCCTCCTCCTCCTCCTCCTCATCCTCCTTGTTCTGCACCTCTGCCTCATCCTTAGCTTCTTTTCTTCCAACTTCCTACCATCATCAGCATCGAGACCAACCTCAACAACAGCATTAGGGGGTTAAAAGACACCTTGAACAAACAGATAAATATACAATAATTCAATCAATTTTTTAATGAAGTGTGAAATCCATTGGTTCTCGGAAATTATAAAAACCCCCTGATGATAGTACATCTTCGTTGAAACCTGACCCGGCAGAAATTCGATTGGTGCCCGGATAATGTGTGTTTTTGCTATGCAAATTGTTGACCTCTATATTAAGTTTTGTTCTAAAAAAGTTTATTGAACATCCACCATGTGAGGAATGATAAGCTAGATAGGCAAGTAAATGAGTGAGTTCCGCCATCTTGGGAAAAGATGCTGAGCATACACACACACACATGCATAAGTACATAAATATTTGATAGTAGAAAATGTGAAAACAATTTTTATTATAACATCGTTACTCATGTCTATGGGCATGCTTAACCATAAATGAAACATGTTGATGGGGTCTGAACAAATTTTTTCCTCTTGGAGCCCACAAATTTATGTTATCCCTGTTTTTCTTTTTCAACCAAAAACACCAAAAATTAAGGAATTTTAATAATTAAATTTGAATTTTTTTGTTTAGAGGTCTCAATGATGTATTTTGAAAGAATGATAGATTTCCTAATTTTCTGGTCAGTGAAATTTATGCCACTTTGACACCGGGCTTTGGAAAACAGAAAAGAAGGGGGCTTGTCATTCCAATTATTATTTGTCATTCCTTTTCTAAAATTGATTTCTAAAAAAGTACTAAACGCAGATGAATAAGCAGGTTAATCTGCCATGGCGCGATGAGAAAGGGGACGTGTTAATGTGCTAATGTTACCAAGACATTTAGGTTGTATTTGGGAATGAACGGTTTTTTGTGTTCTGAGAAAACATTTTTGGAGAGAGAGGGGGGCATATTGAGGAGATGTGCGGGAACGAGAGGAGTCGGGGAGAGAAAGAGGGGGAAGGGGAAAAGACAAGTGGCGTGTGTGTGATGGAGTGATGCACATCGTGTGATAACAACTCATCACTTCGAACTGCTACTACTACAACTGCAAACGACATCATCGTTGACTAAGATGACATCTGCGATAGCTCTTTTCCCATTCAATCTGTCACAGCAGAGAGTGCCACTTGACATGCACGCACGCACGCACACACGCACACGGGCAGGCAGCCAGGCATGCTGAGACAGGGAGGTGAGAAAAAAAAACATCAAGCCAGAAATGAGTGATGCCAAAACCCCTCTCCCACCTCACCACCCTGCCCTCCATCCACTACTGTCTCGTTCGTACCCCCTCTCTCTCCCTCTCTGGCATCAAACATGACGCGAGAGCAGTTGAAATTGAAACTACACCCTGTCAACCTGCCTGTGATGGATTCTAGCACGCACGCACACATACACGCACACGCACAAGCACAGACATTTTAGCTGATACACTTTTAATCATATTCGACAGGTTACCTCGTGTCAGCGTCTTCAATCACTGTGCTAATGAATGCAAATCGCCACTCATACGTATATGGATACAAAATTCATTCTTTAGTTGTATTCTCTTAGACTCCTGCTTTGAAGTACATCTTTAGCCCTGATATCTAGCTGAATGGTACTTCTTAACAAGGGATTACTGTATTTTTGTGTGTATACCACGGGCTGGGGGCTTACCTTCACCGAAGTGACGAATGGACTTTTGGTGGAGAAAGTGCACGCCACCTTAGGTGAATATGCTGGTACCGGCCAATAATTTCACTTTCCAAAATTTGTAATGAAAAGGTAAATGAGCATGGTGGTATCTTTCGGGGACAATTAGCAACAATCAAGAAGAGACAAAACACAAAAAGGCGGTCAATTCGTGTCTCTCAATGCTGCGCCAGCACGATACACTTTTTTGTGCTTATGTGTGCTCCTAAGTTGACAAGAGAGGCCTCGTGCCAAGCAGTTGAACAAAAAAGAGATTGACCAACATGACCATTGGAATGTTAAAAATTGTGACCATCAAACAAATAGCGATGCGTGAGAGGGAAAGGGAGAGCGTGAGAGTGGAAGAGGCGCATTTGAGTCCGCAAAAAGGTGGTTCCTGTGACAGCCGCAGCCCCAGCTGCAGCCAATTCCTAGAGGCCGTGGCAGCAAAACTAAGAGAGGAAGGGAGCAGTGAATGAACAGGCGGAGGAGGTGTCTTATCAGCTCAAGTCATCAGCGTCAACACAGGGTGAGGACTTCCAAAAAACCATCCTGCAGGAAATTAATTGTCAGACGCGCATAAAATCCTCTCCCCACGCAAAACCCAAGATGACGCTGCTGCTGCTGCTGCTGCTGCTGCTTCTGTAGCGGTGGTGGGAAGCGATAAGGAGGCGTTTTGTGCCTGTGATGTCGCCGCTTAATGTGCCCTACTTGGCGAAAAATTTCCACGGTACTTTCGTCGTCATGTGTTGCACATGACTTGAATGGCAAAAGTCAACTCTTTCCCAATGGTGCCGTATATGCGCTTCTCAAATTTTTTGCATCACCTTCAATCATCATTTCGAGCCTTTTTTTCACTTTATGGAGATTATTGTTGCGCAATATTTTGGTAGTCTAATTAATTCAATAGTTTGTGTAGGAAATCCCACTAAAACTGTTTGCGCTTCTTAATTTAAAGGTGAAATTGCAACAATGCAAGTTAACAGAATTCTCCATTTTCCCAATGGTATTTGTGCGGATCGGTGTTGTAATAATGGAAATAAATAGAAGCATCAAAAGTTCCTTTCAAAATTTCTAGTTCGTTAGGTGGAGTAGAAAGAAAAATGTCATCACACAACATTTGTATCTTTGATTGAATTTGTCATAGCAATGGCTAAACCAACGGCCATTTATTAAAGTGTCGGAGTTCTCCATTATTTGTGAGATCTTTTTTTCGTTATAGCAAAGTCTTTCGTTAGATGTTAGAATGAAATAGTAGGGTAAGATTTAGAGCAACCATTAAGCTTTTAAAGATCTGGGGTAAATGCGGCTAACAAAAGCACTGGAAAGAAAGGAATTGAAATTAGTCCAGACATTTCTACCCCAAATTACTCTCTTGGAGGCATTTATCAAGCGGGATAAAATGATTCTGTAATAGAGGTGCTACTTAAATTCGATTGAAACAGCTGCACACTTTTTTCTGGAACGACAACATTTCTTAAAAATGGGTATTAATTGACATCATCGTAAAGTTGCTATAGGGAACTTCTTTTCAAAATTACTTTCCATTTAATAAAAAAAGCTTGTGAAAACGATTAGATTGTTGTTTTGTTTAGAAATAATTTTTGGTTCTATAAAGAAAGTAAACTGAGTAATAATTGTATAAACTACTTATTAGTTGTCATCACAGCAATATCTTACTCTCTAATACGGAAATACACTTACTGACTAATTTTGTAACGTACTTAGTTTGCTTTAGAGGAACATTAGTTGCTTTTCAGAAGACGACTTGTAAAACAATCGCAGTACTGATTAGTGAGTTTTACTGATGCCAGTACCGACCCAACATGTATAAACAGTGAGACCTGGAATTAATTAATGCAGTGCCAGGGTTTTGTAGTGGTCTAGTTTAATAGTATATATGATAGAGATGAGTAAAAATGAGACACGCCATTATGCAATATTACAGGGACACATAATATTGAGCGAGCTTCATCCCTCAGTGATGTTGCCAAAAGAGGTGTACCAAAGCCTCATTATCAAGTCCTCGGGCAGTGCGACCCGCCTCATTCGTCTGCTGATGAAAAGTTTCTTCAGTCAGGAGGAACTCGCTGCATCCTCTCTCTCTGGCGAAGGGATCTACAAGCAGCGACTACAGCCCGAGATCACTGAGGCCATTAAAGGTAACTAGATTTTTTCCTGGGCAGGGGTTCAGGCACACAGATAGAGAAGTCGTTGGCTAGACACACAAAGAAGAACTTAAATAATGACACTTATGCTTGTTTTAGTGTCATTAATTTTACCTGTAACTGACCGTGGCACACTTTAAATGACAAGCGCACACACCCCATGCTGTGAAGTTTGGAGGTGTGCCTAGCAAATAGATGATAATTTGTTGATCTGATTAATACTTTTGAAGTCTAAATGTCTCACGGCATCACATGTAGAGCTAGCATCGTTGTGATTAGTGCCTTGAGTAGAAGGAGTGCGTCGACTGGTCGACGCATTTGAAAAAGCGTGTGGGTATGCAATTCACAACTTTGGGTGTTTACAGATTTTATTCTGCTCTGAGATCCGCCTTTTGCACGAAGGTAACAATTTCATCAACGACCTCCTAATGATGCAAGGTCACTCTTAGATTGCATTGTATCCTAAGTTTCATTGTTTGTGTAAACCGCATCTAGAGAGGGAAATTCACTGCCTTTCTACTTCTCGAGGCTAGACGATGTTTCACACACTGGGTACTTCATTTGCCAGTCGTCGCCATTCCTGGAGCAGATACTTAATTATCCATTTTTATTAATGCAGTTAAGGGAGAAATTGTTATTCATCCATTTCTCCTTTCCACTGCTCTCTTCTGCTCTTACATGTTGCACAGTGTCATTCTGTTCTCCACTCAGTTGGTAGACATGTAGAGAAATTGTTGCCATTTCGTGTAGTGTATGTACTGCCGTAGCAGCTCAATGATCGAAGTTTCCTAATTGTTAGATTTTGATATCGCCCCAGTTGTTGATTGCCTCAATGTAGAACCAGTGGTTTGGGAAATCAACTACAAATGGACGTGATAGCAACAATCCATCTTTTGTGAGTCGTCGCGGGCAAAACCACCCACTCTGAATGCCTCCTGTAAAATTTGTTACACCTGTCCATTCACACCGATCTCCTCTGTAACTGGCACCACTGTGGTACCCAGAATCGTCTCTGAGGACAATGTAGAGCATACTATACCTAAAAATTTATCCTTTACTCCGATTTATAAGTACCATGCTTTGCTGCTGACTTACGCATCCGTAACTGATGCAACTGAATTCATTCTCTTACTGTCCTCTTTAGGTCCTGGGTCAGGTGTTCCATTTAATTTGATCAATTTTCATGTCCACATTCACTTGTCAGAATGGAAGGTCTGCCTCCATCCGTGGATAGTAGCTGCATCCCAACCACGTGAAGACTTCACAAATGTTCCAACCAGTTGTAACATATAGATAAGATCAACATATCAATAAATTTACAAGAAACCCTCCAACAGGGCTAACAAATCAGCATAACTTAGAGAAGTGATACCTCCTTAAAGATTTGACAGTAATTACGATTTTGAGTCCTGATATCAGGAGGAGCATAAAAAAACTGTTGACGTGGTCACTTGTCAGGAGTTGGGCAAGCAAATCTCTCCTGAAATTGGATTACCGAAATGACACAACATTTGTTTAACTGTTTTGCACTAAACTGATCTCCTTGTGTCGCAATATTTTGCAACCTGTTATAGTGGTGAGCATACTAGTGACACCGGGCTAGGGTAAGAAATTTGAAGTATCGCATATATGCGACGAGTGCAGCAAATGCTGTATCCACTGCATAACTTGGCTACTACTTCAATCACAATAACTTGGGTGCATACATGTGTGTGTGTGTGTGCGTAATCCTCAGGTTTAAGGAGGCTATTTTTCCTCCACTAATTCTCAGCCCCAACAAAGCTCATACCAGCAGCAGCAGCAGCATCGAGGATACCGGAGGCGGGGGTCGAACGAAATCGGCTATTTGTTTCACTTAGTGCGGTGTGTGTTCGGGCTCAGACGGAACCAAACGCGACGGACCGGGGGGGAGAGGACGGGGGGAAGTGGAAGGGAGGGGGGCATGAACAGTCACACACACACACACACACACACACATCGAGTAAAAAACATGCGAAATACACGTGGTTGTAGGTGCGCACGCACGCAGATTCACGCACGTGCCTGAGATTGCAGAAAACGCGCAAATTAAGATAAACTCTCGCATACACACACACACACACACACACACACACACACACACACACACACACACACACAAGATTCACCCAATGATGGTTAAAATAAAACTAACTTGAGGGATTCATCCTTTTTTATCTTCTAGAGCCGAAAAAAAAGAGGTATCAATTCACATGGCTTCCCTCTGTTGATAAAATCTGCCATAAAACCTGTGAACCAAATTTCTTCTTTTTCTCCAGGTTGGTTACAGGCTGTCATTTTAACAGAAAGGGATTGATGGCATAAGTGACCCCTTCTTTGCTAACCTACTCACAGAGTAACTTGTGATTTTGATGCTTTTGTTTAAATTCACCTATTCATCTTGAAGACCTGGCCTTGGTAATTAAAAACCCACCCTAAGGTGTGAGATGGTTAGGTGAATTTGCTTTTTTGGAAAGAATTTTACAACTTGCCAAAAGAAAAAGACAAAATTTTAACGAGAACTAGTAGGTCAGGCGCATTTACGTTTATGTGCTTCATCTATTATCGTGTATAAAACAGGAAAGGAGAACTAGGTGCTTGAAATCTGTTCGACTGAAGATGCATAAGCAAAGCTGTGAATGTGCAGGTATAACGTTAAGTCCATGCACTACCTTGCCTAACCAATCGACAAATTCAACAATTCGCGGAAGGTCAAAGCATTTTCCAGGTAGATCACATGAGGCAGGCCAGAGTGAAGGGAGGAGGGGGTGGGTTTGTGGGTATGCGGGTAAGGGGGTGGTGGAAATTGCGTGTCCGGTCAAGTCAGTTAGACAGTTTTGCCCCCAACCCGTACGCATTACCACCACCTTGTGCATATACGTGTGTGTGTGTGTGTGGTGGGTGTGCGTGTATGTACCTGCGTATGTCTGCATCTGGCTGTGCGTGAACATGGATGACGGTGAAATGGTGGAGATTAGCATCAAACCAACCCCCATGAGTTGAGCATGCGGTCATGCAAGTCGGTCGCGAGGCTTGCACGCGAGTCCTGAGGTCTGCCTTTTAGCACGAATTCTCTGTCACCATGTTCATTCCAAGGTTGACGCTGTAGGGCAGGGAGGTTTTGCAGCGCTGTTCACCACTACATAATTGATTTGCATGGTAAAAGATGTCGGCTACATTATCTAGAGAGTGAATTCTAATGCATTCTTTCTGGAGCAAATTAACAACTCGTTCTGCTGACTCAGGATTTTTCTTATCATTTACTCATTTTAACTAATAGCTTGCAGTAGAAAGTCATCCTTTCCCTTCTTTTACATTTCTATGGTCCTTCTGTGAATGCTCGTAGATAATTCCTAGGCTATAACCAGTTTTCGACACTTTCCTGAAAATGGAAGAGACTGAAATGAGGGAGGCACAACATCAGAATTATTGTGGTGCTCTCTACAGTAAAGCATTTACCAAAATCGACATGATGTACAATGGAGGGAAAGCGGCCCAGCATTTATGTCAATTTGACAAAAAAGACCGAGTGACATGAATTCCTCGGAACTCGACTTAAAAGCCTGAACAATCGAGGTGATATTTGCAATACCTTATTGTAGCCTTTATCAGGAAACGGCATCCTCAACTGAAGACTGGTTCCATCAATCTCTGCATGACGGATGTTTGTGTGCAAGCCCGCAGAGTTGCCAATAACCAACGAAGTCGTGTACGAGGGCCCAAGAAGCCGTTATCTAAATACTCCACATCTTCACCGCCTCCTCCTCCTCCACCGCCACCGCCATCATTTTGGTCTCCCTTCAAGACCAATCCCCTCTCCCCTCCTACTGCCACCAATTCCTCCTCAACCAGCACTGAGAATACTGGCTCAAATCTGCTTCTTGGGTCCACCACGAGCGGCAGTGGGAGTCCGCTTTGAGTGATCAAATTATGCATTCAAGGACAGAACCACAGAGCCTGTCTTCGTGGCATTTTGACAAGCACACATCTGTCCATCTATCGATCTCTCACTTCTGCTTTATCTCCCTCCATCCAACCCCTTTCCCCCACCTCCTCTGTTGTGGTAGATTTTCGGGAGGGAGGGAAAGACAATAACACCACTTATGACAAGCGCACATACAAAAACGGTAAAAGGACCTCAGTTAGTACCACGTGCACATTCCACGACGTTTGCTACCGTATATAGCCGCATCTTCTGTAGTTTTCACCTTTTCCTTTTTGTGGACTAGCATCATCTGATCCCTTGTTTGTTTTAATCACAACACAATACTCATTTACACGCGCACGCGTAAAAACAAAGAAACAGTTGCAGACGCAATGAATTAGAGGTGCAATGCAATGTCAGAGAATCAAAAAATTTGTTATTATTGGTTGAATTCAACTCCTACCATTATTATTCCTGTAATAATTTGTCTTTATGCGAAAAATGCCAATATGCACATCCATGGTTAAAGCCTTTTTACTTTCAAATGGGCAAAACCGTATGCCATCCCTTTCAAGTCAATGAAGGAGGCCAGAATGTCGAACAAAGTAAATCAACAAAGAAATTATGCAATAATGAGAAGGAACTAGGTGTTGATGGGTCGCTTTATGGGTTTACTCATCATCCCCTTCAATCGACTGAGATCATCCTGTATAGTTGTATCAGCAGGATTGAGTTTCGCCGCAGCCTCATACTCTGATATACCTAAAACCACGAAATGATTAGGTTAAGTCGGTATTTTAGCTGGCATTTATTTATTAAAGAACAAGCTGAAACCTTCTTTGAACATTTGTAAGTTGCAAAATGCAACACCTCGACGAATGTGAGCTTTAATGCGAGAATTTAGATTCTGTGGAACGGCAGGTTTAAGCAAATCTAGTGCCGTTGAGGCGTCCTCAAGAGCACGAAAGAAATTACGCGTTTGCAGATAACAAGCAGATCTATTGAGATGAAGACTAAAAGCCACGTTAAGGATAGGTGCATAGATCCAACAGCCAGGAAGCATGTATATCTAAAAGGATACGATGGCAGTTTTGGAGCACGTTTCAAGGCTTCCGTATAGGCAAGTGCTGCGGCTTCAAAATCACCAGCTCTGAAGAGGGCTCTAGGCAAATGTCAAAGAGAAGAAATTGAAAGTTAACTAAAACAGGTGCAACCACTTGACTGAAAATCGCTCAACAATAAACGGCATGCACTAGTGACATAATCAGTGCCTTACGCAGCTTTCTTTTGCAACCAGATTGGATCTTTCTCGGCTTCCGAAAGATCCCCATCTTCTACTACTTTAGAGGTCAGTATTCGCCTATGCTCCGCTTGAGCCCGCAACCACTAGAATATAAGCAAGAATAAACAGTTGCTACTTATGTTTATCAAGTAGTATATTACATCAATGATACCTTTTCTTCGTCATCTTTCATGGATTCCCTTTCCGGAGTGGGGAACACACGGGGAGTAAAGGAAACGACAATTTTATCATTACTTCTAACGGGAACCTGAGGCTTCTCGCATCCCTTAAAAATATATTGTTTTAAAGTTGCAGGAGTTGGTGAAACTGTGTTGCCACCTCCGTAGACTTCTCGGGCAAATGCACGTGCCGCCGCAATTTTCGCATCTCTCTGCATATATCACTAAGTAGCGCCAAGCAAATAAAAATACCTCTTTAGCCTGCTGCTGCATTTTTTTCTGACCTTCCACCAATTCCTGCATTGCTGCAAAAGTTGCCGCCTTCTTAGTCTCCTCATGACGGTTTCGTTCCTCTCCTTCAATCTAGCAGAATCAGTCAAAAATCAGGGTACTTTTAATGTCAGAAAAAAAGAAAACACATAGTCAGCCTCGCAAAGATGCTGGGTATTAGAAGCATATTCAGAAAGTGACAATCAGCGTAAAGGATATACAAAATGAATCATTTTTAGTAGGCTGCCAAGTTTGCAAATCCACCCCCTCAAAAAAATCAAATAGCAATAACTTTTCGTTATCTGCCTTAGAGAACGATAAGAAACTGTTTTGTTGCAGTTAGTCGATAAGTACCAAAGAGGCCAATTAATATGACACAGCACATTTCGTGAAACTGACAAATAAGCGAGGTTTTAAACTGGACTCTTCAAAAGAACTCAGAAACAAGCAAAATATTACCCTCATCATTGCCTTTAGTGCGGTCTTCTCACCGAGCCTCTTTTCTTCACGGCTATTCTTCTCCCGTTCTGTTTCACGTGCTTGTACTTCAGCAATCGCTTCTTGCCGAATTCTCATGAGGGATTCTTTTTCCTCTATGAAAAGCATGTACACAAGCGGTAAAAATGTAACTCATTTCATCAGCCTCCAATTTGGGCCATTTGGACACGGTCTTCTTTTTCAGTGTCATATGTGCAGCAACACAATTTTCGAGAACGACCTTACTGTTATCGACATCGATGAAGCCCCAAAGTACACACTCAAAAATGTAAGGTTTAAAGACAATCTAAAAAACAAAATAATCTTGACAGGAAGGAGGTAACAAATAAGTGTTATAACTAGTGTCGATAATTATAGGATACATGTTAGTGCATGGTTAATCCGTTGGTACGAAGTGCCACAATGTGGTTACCGAGGAAATACTGCACATAGAATATAGTTTATGGTTGTCAAAAACCACGCATTTTACAAAAACGCAATAGGATTGGGTTCCATTTCCTTTATTATATGTATAATTATTCAGGTGTAACTGAAATACTTTATTCCTTTTTTACTAACTACAGCATACCTTGACATATCTAGTAGATATGAACAAGTCACAAGTTTTCGAAGGGGTGCCTTTCAAGGGAACTGTTATGTAGATCTCATCATCACTTTCAAACCACGTAAAATCGGATACCGAAATAAACATTTGTTACTAGTGGCACAATAATTAGATCGGTATAACAAACGAAGGTCATTAAGGTACCCAACCGATGCGCTTTATACTTCAAAAATAGCGGTAAAATCCTAATTTTAACACTTTGAATACATTTGTAACAATTGGCAGTACATAAGAAGCCTTAAACGAATCGCCACTTAATCCACCAGGTACATAATCAAATTATTTCAAAATAGGAGGTCAAGAGACATGAGGTGCACAAAACCGAGTTTTAGCAAAGACAAACGCTTTAGTTTTTTTAATCAAGACCACGCATGCTCTTATTTTTACGGTTTTGACTCAAATTCCAACAACTTACTTTGGTGTTATTAAAGAGCTAACATCTGTAGCGGAGCCGTTTCCATTCAACTATATGTTTGGCTCCTTCAACGGTTTAGCTTTTGCAGCTTTGGCTTTCTAAATTCTGTTATTATGTTCTATTCATACTCATGTCGGGTGTCTGCAATGTCCAAGATATATGTTAAGCATCTAACAACTAGTCATGTAATTAATTCGAGTATCGCAATATTAAGAGATACGCCGATTCCTAACTTTTTAAAACAGACCTTTTACTAATTTTGTAAGGACAATTTTTTCCTCTAGGAACGATTTGGATGCCAGCTTGTTAGAAAATGCCACATTATTGCCCCTCCGCCATTTTATCCTTAGCTGCCTGTCTTAGCATCGAGAGAGCGAGTTTGAAAAGAGATCTACTGCCAAAAGCTGCGAATTTGCAAATGTATAGAGCCATACGGAGGATGAGAGCTTGTTTTCTGCTGTAGAATCAGGTATGTACCTTCGGTCATGAGGTGCGTCCAATCTCCACAATTGCCAGCTATTGAAGCTTCTGAATAGACACACTTGATATATCCCCTTTGTCAGTCTAGGCATTGTCCATAAAACTTTCTGGAGCTTGTTCTAATGAGCGTTAATTCCTTTGGCCTTCTCCATTCACTCACTTATAAGTAGACCTCACCTTCATGTCCAACAGGAGGTGTTCACTTATGAAAACATTTTTGATTATGATAAACCGTGATTGGTTTCTTACAAAGCCATGTGTTGCAGGTCAAATAACTTGTTTATGAGATGACCCTTACCATCCAAAACGCTTCTTCCCCCAAGGATGGCAAGTTTGCGTTGTAATGAGGGAAGCGGAATGGATTTACAGAGCTGCACTAGGTTTCACACTTAGTAGGGGCCAGGCCGGTCGCCCTTGTTGTGGCACGTTTAATGTTTGGCATCTGAGAGACATAGATGTCCATCCATTGTCACTTTTTTGCTTGTCATAGTATGTACTTTGCAGCCTTGTGGGTTGACATCTTCATATTATCCTCTCATTTTGCAACCAGGCGACATCTGAAATAGTAGGTGCTGAGCCACTTTTAATGACAGTCACATTGCGTTATGTTGTGTTGAGTGGAAGTAACGCTACAATAGCAGTGCAATTCATAGTGGCTAGAATCCTTTAAAAATTGCTTAAGGCTAACCACCACACTCACTAATGGCATACTTAACTGCCTGCTACCACGGTCCTCTCTTATTCAAAGATCAAGAACGCAGCACTTTAAAAGTGAGATTGCACCTACCCTGAGTTCATTGCTGTATAAAAGTGGCCTGTATCCAGTCCGCAAATGCAAAATACTGGCAATACTTAAGCACTATTTTGACAGAAAACAGCTTTATAAGTAAAAAATCTCGTAAATAGACCATTACGACAACGTAAACGCAACTACGAGCAGCCTACAAGCACTTTAAAAAGCTGGTTGTTCCTTACTTTTAAATGCGGAAACCCTGTGAATGTCAAGAACATTATTGGAATTTTAGCAAATTATTATCAACAAGGAAGGTAGCCCTTTATACTTTGACCTAGAACTTTGCTAATATTGCAAGAGGATCCCAGTCATATGACAACCTATTTAGTCTGAAGTTTGCAAAAAACAACAAAACAGAGGTGAAGTGAATTGGGATGTAGAAATGGATAAAGGTGAAACCGCAAATGGTACTTGTAATTTGCGTCTTATAAACGCAATGAATTCCAGTGCAATGAATATTGGGAAGTGAGGAAGTTCGGGTTTGAGGCCGCTTATTTGGTAGAACTTGTGTGGTCGACCAAGCCATTTAGACAATTTCAGTCTCAACCCGCAAGCATTATTACCGCCTTGTACGTGCACGTGGTGAGGTCGATCTTGCATATGCACGCCTATATCTGCCTGATCGTGTGCGACCATGGATACCGGCAGATATTAACACCAAGCTTAAGCACGTGTAGCGTCCCGAGACTCCCTTAAGACGAAAGAAGACACAATACTCGGGCAGAATATATATATTCAGCACGGAGAAGGTGTCTGGGCTATTGGCATGGCCCAAAAGGCCACCCCACCCAGCGAGGTACAAGTGGGCTAATTCAAAGTACAAATGTGGCGCCTTACCAGAACCGAGGGATAAACCACTATCGTATTACACATGTAGTCATGCAAGTTGGTCATGAGGCTTGTACGCGAGTCAGGAGTTTGCCTTCTAGTACGAATTCTCTGTCACTTGGTTTGTTGCAAAGTAAACAGATCAAAATAGACAGGAAAGGATCGAGTAGGATGAAGTAGGACAGAACAGTTTTGAACCGCTTCTCACCACTTTCTAACTAACTGTCATCACATCTGGAGGTTGAATAGCGATGCATTATTTGGAATGAACTGCAAATCACTTGTTCGGTTTAACTTTTTTAGCATGTTTTTAAATTGCCAAAAGAATGAATAAAATATGGTGCTTACTTTTTTAGGAGCATCGTCAGGAACTTCTTGCTATTTGTATGATTTCTGTTGAAACCGGAAACTTGAATATCATGGTATCAACCAAGTGTACTTCCTCTGTTTAATTCCGGTGTAAGCATACTTTTACTATACATTAACAAATGTCGCCTCTGGCTAGTTACTACCATTTAAAACACCAATAGTCTCATTTTTCCGACTTTGAGGCCTGATAATGGGATAGGTTACTGTATTCAAAGCTGCAAAAAAGAAAGTTCCCGTAGCACCTGATTTTAAATTTGTTGCTTTTTTTACTTTATAATGTATTGAGTATCAGTACATTGTGGCTACGTAAATTAAACGTATCCATTTAAATTATTTCTTCTTATTTAAATCGACACACCAACTTCCTTTGCCCCTAAAACCATTCAATCAAATAAGTTGGCAAACGGATGGGATTCTTTTGCAACCTTATTTGAATTACATTACCAATTGATAAAACTTATAGAAAAATCATTGTTTGTTGATACTAATTTGCCCAATTTTTAGTAATGGTATTGACCTTTACAAGGTTGCTCTATTGAAAAGCAAGGAGTGACTTGTTATTTCCTAGTATTTAAGCTTGCTCATAGTTTGTTAAAAGTCAAAAAAGGTTCACATTTCTTTACACTTATCCACTGTAGTAAGTTGGACAGGCTTCCCCTTTTTTGTTCTGTGTTTTTGCAGAGTGCAAGGATGAATTTAAGTTAGTCGAATTGTAATAAAAGCTGTAATTTTCCTAAGTTGATTTTGTAGGATTCGTTCTCTTTTAGGCACCGAGAGACCTTATATTGCAGCATTCTGACAGTTTTTAAACTACTTGCGCGCATATATGTACACGTCTGTTTACAATTTGCGTTATTTACTAGGCCATTTTGTACCATTGAGCTGGGTATCGACAGCTGGTACTGATTTACTTGAAAAGTTTCTACTGAAAAATTTTTTAAAGATTGCGATACATTGTTGGTTCTTAATCGGTAGATATGGACTTTGTTAATCATAAATCTTCGCCTCCACCTCTACCGCCGAAATACGCCTGTAGGTTACACAATCCAACTCTCTTTTCTTTTGTTTAAGCAGTTTAAAACTGTAAAATTAGCCTAAGAATCATTTAAAACAAATTTGTGCAATATATGCTCCTTTCGTTTCTTTTTAATCAATTTTCCAGTTATAAAACAATGTTTTGATTTATCATAGCGTCAATTTAGTGATGACGTTTGATTTTCAGTAGTAAGTACTTCTTTCTTTTCACAATTTTTCAAGCTAGACGACAACAGCCACCGCCAACCCCACGTAGGCAAGCCTTTCAAGGCAACGGCTTTCGAGTTGGTCCTGCCGGCTTCTCTGACAGTTGTAGCAACTACAAAATGGATGAAACAATGGAGAATCAGAGAACAAATGCAGTGAGGGAGTTAATTGAGAACGAGAAACTTTTCAAAAAACAGATGACCCTTGTCTCAGACATAATGACCAAAAATAGGGTCCCCGTTTCTGTGAGCATCTTTTCTTTGGGACTACTTCCCATTTGTCATTTTTACTCCCTCATTATCAATATCGCTATCCATTCTTAACATCAGCTAGAAGTAATCTGTTGCAAGACGCCAATGCAAAAGTAATTCCATATGCTTTGCTGCTTTTACACATCACTAAGTTGGCCTAATAGACCTACTGGTTGCTAGTTATAACAAAGTTCTCGCTATATATTTCTGTTAAAGTGGTATCCAAAGAAGAAGAAAAGTGAAAACGTGATTTTACCTTAGCGATTGAAGTTTTCATGCTATCTACTGAACGAAAGGTTCAGTGTTCCATTCTAGTGGATGGAATTGGCACAATGTCTTTGAAGTGCCTGCAGCAAAATCATGGTTGACAGTTAAGGTTGGCAAGAATTGGTTAAAACCTTCCCAACAATTATTCAATAAAAGTATTGCCTTCTTATTGACCCTAAAATAGATGAATTAGGTAGGTAATTGCACTACTTGAATAAAAAAGGAAATTGAGAAATTGTGGTGAGTTTGAATAGTTATTTTTCTTCATTGCCTTGTCTAGATTACCCCCGCGGACCTTGCTGCAGTAAAATTGAATTTGGACGACTACATTTACACCTCCGCTCAAATGATCAGAGCTTACGAGAATGCAGTTGCAGAAGCCCCCAACGGCAAACTTGCATACGCCTGTGTTTGTACGAATACTTTTAGCTCTGCATACATTTAAAGGCAATCACTTTGGCCAGGCTTTGTTTTGTTAAATTGAATATATTTTTCTTGCGTAAATCTCAAAATGCGTTATCTTAATAGATTTACGCCTTTCTTTTATACGCAGCTAAGAATGCGCATTGTAAAAAAGAATAATGTAAGTTATTATAAAATTTGAGACCTCTAAGTCTAATCAAACTATCAAAATTGACTTCTTATCATAACTTATGGCCTAAAAACTTCAAAACTCTGAAAACCTCTTTAGGTAAACACCTTGTACCGACTCTTCCTGCCTTTCGCAATGTGATGGTGGCGTACATTAAGGATTATGACCCAGAGATCCTACAACATGTATGCTTGGATAGCTTAGAATTATCTTTTTAAGATTTCTCAAAATATAGCCTATAAAGCATATTGGGGGATTTTGGATCTTCTAGAGACCGCATCTGGTAGAATACTTCGACAAGGCTGGAGAACTGCTTCATAGGTTGGAGGGACAAATGGTAATTCTCTCAGACCGTCTACTCAAGCCTTTTCAGCGTCCCTTCCACATTACTTGCATTCTACATCGTCTGGATAAGGTAATGTTTTGAATTTTGAGTGCATTTTTGACTAGTCTACATTAGTTGGTGTCTTCAAATTAATTATTCCTTATGAGTATCCCTCGAACAACCTATGGCCATGTAGCCGTGAGAAAAGACACGGAGTCATCACTCTTAAAACTCAGCCCGTAGGTGCCAGGTGGTCAAAAATTTCGTACGATTTTCAGATAACTGACTGCAATGGCTTTTTACATATTGCTATACGGCCCTATAGCTTTTGGGGGCTCGGAAAGGCGTGGGGTTGGCGGAATGCGAGACCAATGTAGAGTGTGTAAACCCAACTCATCTACCTTACGAGCCGAAATGAAATTGACTGTGAAGATGCAGATGCTTCTTGTGCATTTGGCTGAAATGCAATTGAAGGGGTGTAGTGTGCATTGAAAACACCATACATCTGGTTCAGGAAGATTATTCTTCAGGAAAGGAGGAATGATATGTTGTCAGTGACACGTCAGTCATTTGGAGGTGAGAGTGTGAGGAACGCCTTAGTGAGCCAAAAATCCGCTCAGTAGCTACGATGGGATGGAAAAGGGGGAACTGAAGGGGAGGAATGGTGTCTCACTTTTATCTTGAGGCTCAAATAGCTAGCCGTCCTGTCTTAGTGGCATGCAAGCGTATGCAAGATGGCACCAACAGAATACGAGGTGATTAGAGTAGGTTTTTTTGCTTCTTAAGGCAGTGTCTTTACCTAAGTGGAGTTCGCGTTTGCCTTATTGCTGCCAAAGAAGAGTATTATGAAGTTAATAGATAGTTGAGGGCTTAACGCGTGTCCTTTTGGTTCAAGTATACACCGGAATTGCATCCCGACTCTGCCTATGTAAAACAGGCCAAAATTGCAATTCAGAAGGCTTGCGATGATGCAGAGGCGGCCAAACGCGCGGATGGGGACTGTGAGTTTGTTGAATGCTTTGTACACGCATACCTTACTCGAGTGTTTCCTCAAGCTGATATTCCGTTTACATGCGCGGTCTGCTCTGTTATTCCTCAAATCACTTGCGGCTCACTTGAAGTTGTTGGATTATTATCAGGTGTCAGATGTGAAGCAGATAAACTGTCGAACATGTTTTTTTGAAAGGAATGTCGGTAGTGAAAGCGAGGTGAACCTAACCTAAGCGGAAAGTATAACGCCCCATCATTAGGTGTTTTTGAACTCCTCTAGATCACCGCCTTTGTGACACTAAGCAACTCCAAATACGCAGTAGTCTTCAGCACTTTCCTCAAGTGGATTTTTCTTTTTTACGTAATTTTATAGATAAGCAATATGACGATTTTCCCCAACTGACTGTAGATGTATCAGCTGGTAATTCTGCTGCTGGTGGAGCTTTTGTAAGTTCGTTATTGGTGGATATAATTCAGAATATCAGAGATAAAAAATGTCACTGAAACACGGAGCTTTACTATCGTCTCAAATGGATGAACTGACTTAATTAATCGTATTATAGTGGACCCGTTTTGCGTACTTGAGAATGTTAATTGCAGGGTGCTATCAAGTTCTCGGAAGTGAATTCCCCACTACCTTCAACAGCACAATTGATCTAATGTTAGCAAAAAAAGCCACGAAAGTAATTGCTTACAGGTTAGTAACAACCAATTGATCTATGATAAAAAATCGGTCCAACTAGTTACCATGACCTGGCAATGAACAGATTCACTTGACTTTAAAATGGAAATCAAGATGTGAGAGGTAGTAATGCCACTGGCGATCTGCGCGTATGTTGGGCATTTGTAAACCCCCCCCCCGCCACTTACTGCCTTTTGTATGACTTTACTTTGGTAGGAGAACTCTCGCATGACAAACTACCGCAAGAAAGGGAAGAAGCTTTCTCTGCTAATTGAAGATCTCTCCAAATGGATCAAATTGAACAGTGAGGACCTCAAGGTAGGTGCGATCTCATCTTCGCACTGCTACAATCTCGAACTTTTTGCAGAAGAGAGGACTGTGCGATCGAGTGACTTAAATAACCTTGACCACCCACTTCATTAGTCATTCATAGAGAACCGACGCCTCCTCATCAAGGCTGTCCGCGAGTTACTTCAATCCTTAGACTCCGCTGTAGGAAGCTCTCTCCCACTAAACTTTCATGCGTCTTCCGTGCAGCATCAGATCAGGATCTTTGACCCCACTATGGTAGGTTGCTCTTTTGCTTCCGTTCGATGATAAAAAAAACATTAGAACCTTCCTTTTAAGACTCACCTCATTGGTTACGAATGTAACATAAGAAAAATAAAAAAGTATTATTTTCTACTGCATATAATGCATTTATTAGTTTAATAGGGCCTCGGAGGAGGTGTTGGATCGGCTGAAGTTGTTGACCGCACCCTTAAAAAAGATGAAGCCTTCTTTGAAAAAGTTGAAGTCTAGAGCCAATGATATTGCCAAAACGCAGGTAAGTTATCGGAACTTTTTTACAAAGTGGAATAACCCCTCCTATACGAATGGCGCATCAAAAAACATGGTGGAAGTGGACCTTGGTGGTTGTGAATTATTCACAGGCGCGCTTTGAGCCACTTAATCGAAGATAGTCGTCATACCCGATGGAGTAGGTTAAAATAAGTTGTGTTTGCCTATGAAAAAGCAAATAATTTAAGATGTAAATACTGCTATTGCAGGGGCTGAATGAGGCACCGACCAAATTGCATGAGTAAAAATAACTCATTCATGACCTTAGATGCATGTGCGACGGTATTCCCATGCTAACTGAATAATTGCACCTGCAGAGGAACAGAACCGCCAATCCAGCGACAATTGATGCGTATCGACGAGATGAAAAAAAAGCAATGGCTCTCTCAGAGGCGATCTTAGGCAAAACCGAAAAAGCTATTAAAGCCCTATTTCTTCACTACCTCTCACATGTGCAAAGGCTTTTCAACTACGCTGCAATTAAAGAGAATGGCTTAGATGAAAGATATGTGAGTCGCTTTCAACTAAGCGTTCTCTTGCATCTATACGTTAGTCGAGGATGAACATACTACTTAATATCCCTAGCCTGTACTTCTATTTCAATCCAAATATGCAAAGCAATCGTTTTAGAAAGGCTTAAACCAACCTTCTAGTGTTTCCCAAATTTCATTAAAGACGGAGACTTGATCTAATTGTAGAAAAACTAAGTTTTTGTTTTGTCTTAATGATTTCTTTGTAACGGTTATTCATGCATGAGAAAGATTTTGACAAAGGGCATCCTGATTGGTCAAATTCTGAGACCTCACAATGTGATTGGCTAAGTTTTGAAGCGCCGTGAAGGTTGTCTACAAATTCTTTATAGCGTAGGCATATTACCACCTATGTGGTGCTTTCGAGATTGTGTCTGTTTTTTTTTCCTACCCAGAACTCACCAATCAACGGGACCCTGTTGTCACCATTTTTAATTATTGTGAAATTTTGAGAAGTCGTAGGCGAGCAATTCTGCTTCATTTTTAAAATAGGTTAATGCACAATCAAACGTCCACTTCGTTTCCTGCTTATACTTGACTTGTAAATTCGACTTGCAGAACAATGCTAAAGTGTATACTTAACCTCAGGCCAACAAAATCACACACCCTTTATTGCACAATGGTTGCCGGTTTGTTTGGAAGGAAATGTTTGTTTTTCCTTCTCTTCATGAACTCTTCTTCTACCACACTTCCAGTGTGACCCATATACCTGCTCTGTTGAATAGACTGATCTATCAATGGCTCAAGCACCACAATTGTAGAGCAATTGACCTTGAGTCAAGGACGTCCTAAATCTCCTCACTTTTCTTAGCCTCAATCAATCCGTTCATGACTCGCTTTGACGTGGTCACTTATCATAAGTGGATAAAGAATTGACATCTTATAGTTGTTAGGTTGAATCCAGGTAGGGCAATCAAACCTTCATGTAAATGTGATTCTAGCGACACAAGTGGTAAAAAGCGATTCTATCGTTTGCAGGACATTCGTTCACATTTTCATCACACTTCTACCTCATAATAAAAGCTCCTTACGATATTCTTGCCTTTTCTATCCTTTGAAGACTAAAGCCTTAGTCCGGCTTCGTGAAGCGGATTTGAAATCGCAAGTTGAGGTCATTATAGCGATATGGGAAAGGCAAAGCAAAGTGGCACAAGGTTCAAACCCTAGACCCAACACTAAAGATGCTCCTACGCCTGCCCATTGCAAAGCGCGGATCGTCTACCACTATTCGGACCACCAAACACCACCCAACTTACAGGTTAATGACGTCGTGTATGTGTTTCGATGGACCGATGCCGTGCGAAACCCTGAGTGGGCGGAGGTAAGTGACAGAACAGGCCGGAGGTTCTTCTATCCCTCCTCTCGGCTGGAGCGCCTTAGTTGAGCCCTCACCGACCCAGTGGGATTGTGCCAAGCGTAAATCTTCCATGTTAACTGGGTGTGTGTTTGTGGTCCGACTCTGTTACTTCATTATTTGCAAACCTAAATATTCTCTTTCCAGAGATGTGAAGCTAATTCTTGTACTTCATTAATGTTGGGCATACTTTGTACAAATCAAACGTCGTGGAGAAAATGGATTAGCAGGGAATTTGGGTCAGCATACACTAGAGGACGGTCTTTCCTCCTAGCACAACCAGTAAAAATGAGTAGGTCCTAGACGTCGTTCAGGAGATTAATCTCGCTGCGATTGACCAGACCGATGAACTTTTATTGATCCATCATTCGAAAGCATTCCACGCAGTTTATGTACCACGTGGTCAGAAGAAGACCAACACTTTTTTGATGAAAAATGGCGCCTAGAAAGCATTTTAAGGATGCAAATGACTTCAATATTTCAGAAGATGATTTTGATTTAGCCCTCTCTCTCCTACTCGATGCATGTCAATCGCGATTGGATATAAAATATCACCATGATCCCCTGTCGGTGCGCTTCTACAATCAGTACTTCAATAAGTACCTGGTGCGCTTGTACTACTTCTTCATGACTGCAAACCTGCTCACCATACTTCTTGAAGAGCCAGCAGCTGTCCTTTTCGACGGTAAACCGCTGCCATATTACATTCCTCTCATCATCAACATCATTTGTGAGCTCTACTTCTTCTTCCGTTGGTTGCACATTTTTGTTGTGGTAGACCTCGAGTTGATGAAAAAAAATATCTCTTTTTGGTTGTCAGCAGTGTTCATTTTTCTCATGGTCGTAGACGACATAACCTATATCATTCAGCACTGTTTGAAACACAAAAATCCCATTCGTTGGTCCCGTCTCGTGAGACCGGCTCTCTTGCTTACTTTTCCTGAAAACAAGCGCATCAGAGGGGCTTTTGAGAACATTAGATGTACCGCCCAGGATGTGCTTTCTGTCTTTGCCATGTTCATGGCAAGTCTCCTTTTCGTGAGTGTTGTAACCATGAAAGTAGTTGACACCAAAGGAATGCTCAGTTTGGATAATGAGCCTTACATCCCCAATTTTGGTGAGATTGCTTGGGAACTCTACGTCCTCACTACCACTTCTAACTCACCGGATATAATTATTCCAGCTTACGAAAAGCATGCTGCCTACATAGCTATCTACGTATGGGTGTGTGTAGCATGCAATTGGCTTTTCATGGGTATTCTAACAGCTTCCGTGTACAACGCCTATAAGGGTCATTTGGGCGAGAATGTACTGAAAAGTCTAGTGAAACGGAAGAACATCCTCGATGAGGCATTCAGAATACTTCAGTCGATAGAGACCGAGGAGATGGTGTCGAGGGAGATTTTTATAGCTCTGATTCAGCGGGTCACTCCAAATAGATCCGAGAACTCCATTGCTCTCATTTATGACATACTCGATGCTAAAAATGCTGGCATCGGTCAGGTTGAGTTTGCTCGACTTACTGAGTACATGCAACTAAACTTTAGGGAAGTTGTTATCAGTAGAAAGCACTTTGAGCGCTATCTGCCACGCTTTTACAACATCTACATATCCAAATGGTATCAAATGATAGTTAGGATCATCCGAAGCAAGCCGACCCACATCTTTTTCGATATTATGGTCGTTCTGAATGGAGTCACTTTGGTGGTTGCAGACGGAACACCATATGAAGACTACTTTGAATGGACTTTCACGGCAATATTCGCTTTGGAGATCCTTTTCAAATATCTCGCTTCAGGGGGTGTGAATTTCTTCCAAGAAAAGTGGAACATTTTCGACATGATCATTGTGATTGGTGCTTTTGTAGGTCAATTCATCAACCTCCTTCTGGAATGGTCAAACATTAAAGCACCCTCGTCACTGAGTCAGGCGTTCCTTTTGCTCCGTCTCTTTCGTCTCTTAAAAATCATCGGCCAAGTACCCATATTCCGATGCATTATTAACTGCATCATCATCATTCTTCCGTCTCTATGCGCCTATGCAACCATCCTACTTATACTCTTCTACATCTTCACTTGTGTTGGAATGGAGCTGTTCGGTGGACTACTAGTCATACCAAGTGGTTATAACTATACTGTGGATGATGCCTGTAAAAACAATAAACTTGCTGGGAGCTCATTCTTACAGTTGCACTATTGTGACCTCCATTTCAATGACGCAGCGTCCAGCTTTGTGACATTGTTCGTCCTCAGTGTGGGTAACAACTGGCACATTATCACAGACGGATTCACACGCATCACAAATAAGTCTTACCGACTCTACTTCCTCTGTATACACTGGATGTGCGTACTTTTGGTGTTAAACATTGTTTTAGCCTTCATTATCGAGGCTTTTTTGATTGAATACGACCCACAAGAAAGTCGTTTCGAAGAGTTCATTCGGAAACGCATGCGGGAGCTCGGCGTAGACGCGGAGACCGAATTGGAGAAGCGTGGATTAGAGCGCTATCGAGAGAACGACTTCTATGTAACACGAGAACAGCTAGATGCAGCATTTCCTCCCCACCTTCCTGACATACCCTTCTCTGCTTTCTTCTTCATTCCTGATAGTGCTTCCATTGAACTGCTGATGTTCCGCATGTTTGAGACTGAGATCGAGGCTATTGCCACAAATTACCACGAGAGACGAACGATTCGTGTAAACGCAGCAAATTTATAATCTCAAAGGTGGGTGTGGATAAAAAAGTTCAACTTCTATAAAGAACACTTCTGCTTCTTCTTGCAGAAAACGCTATCGAACTTCCTCTGTGAAAAAGGAAGGAAATAAGAACCCATTGAGAGTTACCTGGGAGGTGATTTCTTATGTAATGTATATCTATTCATTAAGCATGTGTATATAAGACTCGCTACGCATTCATGGGTGGATTAGACCGTGGTCCAAACCTAAACATTATCCACTTTACTTTTTTGTCTCCATTTTAACGTCAAATGTGTGGCCGTGCCTACGGCAAATGCCTTAGGCACAGATGTTTTTTAGAAAACCTGTACTGTGTAAAATGTGGAAAGAGGAGGTAGGATAAGGAGAGATGTAACAGCTAACAGAAATTAATCACCCCACCCTTCGATCTACAGCCGCGCGTCACTGCACCACCCAACCCCAGTTACTCCTGAAGACATTAAAAGGCCTAAGCACTTTTAAATTTCTTTCTACACTGTGCAAATGTCGTAGAGAGTACCCCATCTGAAGTAAAACAAGAAAGCAGTCTTCGAAATCTAACACCGTTGAGCCCGTTTTGTAGATGGAGAGTCCACTTTCATTTGCGGTCACAAACTTATTTTGAGGGAATTATATTGGTCACCTATGGCATCAACACCAGTACCCCCCAATTGGTGGACTTAACTGCCTGTTCAAAAAACTGAAAAGGTAGTGTAGTTACTACAGACCAAGATCATCCCACATATGCTTCACATTTGCTGCAACACGATTTGGCGAAATCACACACGTCATGCGTGCGATGTGAATCCCCACCCATCTTGGAACACCATGATTTTTTTCGCGTAACAAATCACACTGTGCTGTTTTGGGTAGCCATGACATTCCGTAAGGATATCAGCTAATATGAAACCACCCAAAGCCAAAGCGGTCCTTACTTTTAACTTGACAAAGAAAAGTACAACATAAGTAGAATTATTATTGTCTAATATTCAAAACCGAGGTACAAGACACATAATGCAACAGCGACTCAAAAAACCACCTAAGACAAGTAAGTTGACATGAGTGCTGAGATCTGATAAGTGGTCCAGAGCAGGAGTTGTAAATGCATAAGGGGGGCCTATTTTCTTTGACTCAAAGTATCCTCCAACATGGTTAATCGTTGCTCCAAAAGCGATACTGTCTAGGAGTGGAAAGGCAAAGAGATGAGAGAGAAATGCCAATAGACATTCCCAAATACATTTTACTGAGTGAGGTAGTATGCTCAATAATCAGAAGTCTTCCTCACATTCTTCTGACCAGATTTCCTACCATCCCTCATTTGAACACCTTGACACTAACAGCTGATGCATCGCATCAGCCATTGACGAATGCAGCGTGGAGACAGGAAAATGCATAATACCATAGAATAGGAGAATCCACAGAAAAATCACACAGAGATTCTTTATGACAAAGGAAAACACGTAAGGACAACAGATAGAGGAAAATTATATCATGGAAATGTGGTGAAATCTTCCAAGCTATCGTCGTGTACTTTGTAGACAGTAATTCGTGATACACCCAGATAGGTAAAGTAATGCGGAGCGTTTTACGAGAAATGCTTAAGCCAAACCGGGGCTCTTGATTTTACAAGAAGCGGCAAGCCAGTACTAACACCTTAAACCGGTACACTTGGTGCGGACCGGCACAAACACCACTAATCGAGTTTGAGTGCTCACGCAAAAAAGCATGTGGTTATGAACGACAGTGTAACACCCATAGGTGCTTACAGAAGGCCTCAAGCACGCTACGATAATGGAGGATTATGCAACTCAATAGAAAATGTTTGATTCAATAGTGCCAACATTTCAAAGATTGCCAACGCTATGCATATCAGTGATGACTCCAGCAGTATTGGCGACTGGGTCATCACAACAGGCAGCCATTCTTGTGAACGCTTGTCTGATCATAGAGAATCAACACAGGACATTGTAAAATAGCAAAAATAAACAATCTTTCGATGGAGAAACTTGACCCGCACCTATTCTGAGATGGTTCAGGTAGGTAGCGCAACTTTAGCATAGGAATGCGTCGAACATAACAATCGAACCTAAGGTGAAGATCCAAGACAGCAAAGTCGGAGATGGACACTTTCATTTATGAATCAAATTCTAAATAAATTATCCAGCAAAAACCATCTTACTTCACTCTACAATTTAGACTGCCCACCAATAGAAAAGTTTATCAAACTGAGTGGGCATGAGTGAGATATGCTGAAGAAGGTAGAACTTAAGTGGTTGTGTCACTGTTAAAAAAACTAACAAGATAACTCCTTGAAGCACCAATAGTTCACGATGCCAAAAACAAGAAAGCAAAACAGAAGCACAAGTGATTAATTGTAGAACCACCTGTGTGAGGATGTTCAATTGGGACGTCATAGTGGCAAGAGTGGAGGCGATGCATTCGGGAATCGTTGCAACATTCTCTTGAGTTGAGACCTGAACTGGCTTTTCAGCAGGAGTGACACCTACACTCTCCTGGTTTTGCTGATTCTCCTGTAAGGAAAATGACACAAGAATTCGACTGTTGCATGAAGATGTTCATATACTACTTTGCAATTATCAAGTGACAAGCTCATGCAAAAAATAAGGGTGAAGTTTTTATGATCCCCTAGTGAATGATGACTATGCTGGGAAACAGCAAAAAATCTGAATAACGAGAGCGCAACCGTAAAGCCACGAAGGTGTTGTACTTACAGTTTACAGAGTAGAAGATTCGTAATTTGTACTCGAACGGCTTATAAATGCCCAGAATGGGTATTAGTGGTCAATGCAAAGCACCATTTAAGTTACCACTGCAAAAGCACTGATATCAATAAGCAAACAGATCCAATCGGTCTGAATCTCCAAGGAATCGCTACCTGTAACTAAGAGGAATTGTGCCAAAGATAATCAAGATTTGTCATAAAAAATGTGCCTGAAGTTGCTAGAAAATAGCCACTTAAGTAGTGTGTATGTATTTACAGATTGTGAAGCGGCTGTCACACGTGCCACCGAATATGGAGAGGTGGCGCCCTGCATGAATAAATCTTAAGAGATTCCCCAAAACCATATTGTATGCTCTTGCATTCCAGCGATAAGCGAAGAGATATACCATTATGTAGCGTAAATGACTCGCTTACAAATTACCCCTCGCCTTCAAGACATCACTTCATCCTCATAAGTCTTTGCGGATGTTTAGCGGAGACCAGACGCAATTGTACACTTACTGGAGGACAAACAATTAAGGTGAGGGTGTACTCACTCACATCGAAATAACGCAAAGAAGTCTAGGAAACACTGAGTTGGAAACAGGGACCACTAGCAAATAAGTCGAAAGACTATTCTATGAAATTATTTCATTTTGTTAGAAGTAGCCACACGAAATTAAATGGCTGCGCTGTAAAAACATCCTTCAAGTGCATTTGAAAGATAAGTCTTTCGTTCTCCATTCTAACAACTTGATTTATAGCTGAATATTTCATGACGTTATTTAACTACTCTGCGTCGAAAGGTAAACAAGCACACATTACTTGTTATTGCCGACTGCTTTATCACTGATGCAGGAATTTGTTTTGTAAATATGATGCACGAAAAACCGATGCACATGGAAGATTTATTTCGTGGCATAATACTATGGACAAATTCATCTGACGAAAAGGCAACCGCACCCTTTTGTAACTCAACAAGGTGTGTGATTTTTCTGGTCTGTTAGAAGTGAGAAATGTTCGCAAAGGGAGGGATGAATTAACGGTGTGGGTACAGGCACTACTGTTTCTACTGTGGTTAAAGATAATCACATGCTATTTGCACGCAAGCCACCACAAGAGAGAAATGTTACCTACTGGCTTGGCAAATGAATCACAAAGTGCGAAAATATGCCTTAACCAGAACAAAAAACCGAACTTACCTTGGGGGAGAGGGGTGGAGAAGATGGCTTCTTAAAAGGCTCCGTCGTAAAAGTTGAGGCAGCGGAGGAAGAGGAAGAATCAACAAATTTAGTCGCTGCGGGTTCACGACATTGAACAAGCCTCTGACTAGTAGAAGCTGGAGATTTTTGGCCAGTAGTGACGACATCATTCGCTGCACCATCGTCTGTGTAACGTTGGCTACAGTATATGTCTCGCAGAGGCCATCGCTCAGTCAAAATGGACTTCCGTACATGTGTTGACGCCATTATGGAGTCGCGAGGCAGGTTCGCGGGTTCAGAAACTTCAGCAAAGTTTGTCTTCCAAAGGAACACCTAGTGAGAAGCATGGTGCTACTTAATTTTTTAAGTAAAAATGACGTTTTAAAAACATCCAGGAATACCTCACCTGTTCATCGTCTCCACCAGACGCAAAGTGTTCTCCCGAGCAGGAAAATGCAGCAGCGCTAATCGCGCCCTTGTGACCACTTAGAGTGTAAATAGGACGACCTTCCAAGAGGTCAAATATCTTCAACGTGCAGTCTTCTGAGGCGGACAGCAGGTAAATTCCCGACGGGTGGAAGCTCACCTTCTGAACTGATCCCGCGTGGTCTGTTAGTGTAAGATAAAACATGAAATTAGATAACACCCACCGTTGTATTGTTGGATCAGACGTCTCATACGCAGATCCCAGACCTTTACGGTTGAGTTAGAACTGCCAGAGGCGAAGCAGGTTTCACTGGGATGGAAATCGATATGGTTCGCGAATCCCCCTGTGTCAGTGAAAACATTGACACACTCTTGATTTCGACAATCCCATAATCTGATGGTTTTGTCGTCAGAACTTGAAAGAATGAGTTGGGAATCTGGAGAAAACCTGGTTATCAGAGCAGATTATGAAGCATGGGCAAACTTACTTGCAGCAACGAACCCAGTTGACATGTTTATTTAAACTGTAAGCGAACTTTTGCCGATGAACATTCCAAACCTTAATCGACTTGTCCGAGGAAGCTGTGCAGAGATGGGTGCTATCTGAAGACAAATCGACCCATCTAACTGCCGCAGTATGGGCCCGAAAGGTGATTGATTCACCTTTGCTAACATACAAATAGGGGCGAAAATTAGTCACTTACATGTTCGGGATCCACAATTTCACGGTGCGATCTTTAGACGCCGATGCGATAATTTCGCCACTTGGGGAAAAGCAAGCACAAAGAACCGCATCCTCGTGTCCAGTAAAACGGTAGGCACGAGTCTGTGGCTTTATATTCCATAACATCAAAGTATTGTCAAGAGATGATGACACTGCCAGAAACTAAGAATCGCATAACAAACCTAACTGCCGCCCGTTGAAACTGAAGCTCACATTGGTAATACTACCCCGGTGACCCTTAAAGTGTACTTGCAAAGAGGGATCAGCCTAAAATATTAAAACACTAAACTTATGCCATACCATGAGTGAAACAATTGACAAACTACACCTGCGGGGTATCAAAAGCAGCGGTACCAAACAAAGAATATACATAATCAAACATGATAAGAAATGCAATTTGGACTTGCGAAAGCAATTTCAAAATAAAAAATTTTCATTAAAGAATATTGCTTAAGTTTTTTGCAATGTAAAACTTATCGAACTGTTAGGTTATAAAACTATTTGGATTATTGAAAATGGCTAATTGTGTCGTTTCGAAATGGGACTAAAAATTTCACAGAGTTATTTGGTGCACTGCCTGTGTAGTGTACAAACCTAAAAAATTTTATTGAACTGCAAACATTTTCATACATTTATTAGGAAGGGGTAGCTTATGTGTTCCGCAATACTTGTCTTTTAAGTTCGCTTTTTTAAGTAGTAAGCTTCTAGTGAGTACTTACTTAAAGCAAAAGTTCTAAATGCTGTTTTTCGCAAATACAAGGGCTCAACTAGGCTAATTTAATGTTTGCAGTTCGTCAAAAAAAGCTGTGGGCACAATCCACTTATGATACTGCAGCAACCCATTTGCAGCCTCGTCAGTACAGATGCAATGTTAATTAATGTAAAACCTCTTGCTTTGTTATCTTCCTCTTTTCACTTTCCTACTTGCAAAATCCAATACCTTGTGGTCTGTAACAGCTGGGCGGGTTTTTCGAATACTAGCCCTGGGGTATACAGGGGTGTTGTTGAGATCGGTTATTTTGTTACTTGGTGAGTGCAATATTCTTTGCAGTTGGGTTCTATATTCGCTGCCCTCCCTTATATATCCATTTCCTTGCATAGTTTGCACGTATATTAAGCCTCTTTTACTACGTCATCCTTCCTCATTTATTCATTGAAGACCATTTATATACGCCTTCATTGTGTTAAAATCACCACTTCGTCGGTTGTTTGATAATATTTGAGCAATATGGGATGATTCGCGTTTGCGTAACTATACGAAACGTTATTTTGTTACCTGGCTTCCCTCAAAATTTTCTAATGTATTTGTGTGGTTTAAGTCCTGGGCATACCCTTTTGATAATACTGGGCTGTACGCTTCATATTTTACTTTTTGAATTGTATATCCTTTTTGGCTCTTGCATCCAATCTTGTTGCCAGTGAATAACTAAACTTCACATGTTTATTGTTGGTCTAAAAGTTCCAAAGAAAGTGGTTTATCAGGTTTCCTTGGGACATTACCCTGTGTCTTAGATGGCCTGAATAGCCTCTGCTAGAGAAACCTTCCATAATAATTCCAATTTCATGAATCATTGCTCGTGTGCAGCATGCCTGGAAGTTGTGTTATAACTATATTATTGTGCCACCATTTAAGTGGATTAACAATAATGTGTTAAGTCCTTCATTGTTCAACTACAACTGGAGCCTTCATTCATTTCTTTGCCGAAGGAGGCAAGATCACACAGAATCCGTGTAATGTTCCTGGACTTTCTAGTGCCTTTTGTGTGCTCTAATTTGCATACTATCCCATTTGGTAATACATAGCGCATTTTCTACTCCAGTCTATCTTCTTATAACTAATATTGAATTTATTTGCTAATTTAACATGGGAGAATATCTTTGAGTCATGGAAGGATCTAAATTGCTTCACGTCTCGATACAAGAAATTTGCATTTCGGAAAGCCTTTCTTACTCGCATTCAGCGTTATCACATTCTCACCTGTTGGTCTTCTTTGGCTCCTGTATTTTTATTAAGGGATCAGTTCTCTTCCAATTTTTCTCATGGACTTTGTTGGATTCCTCTTTCAATGTTTTGTTGCACACCAATGAAAATCTATCACCGACACCTATTCCTCCACGAAAAATGAAAATATTTGTGCGCAGTTGAAAACTAACCTGAATATCCGATATCTCTCAGTTCACTTTATTAATTATACGTTTTCTTTATTCCAAGTTCTAACGAAGTCCTTTTAAAGTAGTAAACGCTACTTACGTTTTGGATCGGAGTGGAAATTCATCCCCGACCTTGAGATGTTGTGCTCTTATTACAACACCGCTGGTAATGTCACAATTGGTAGCTGATAGGCAGTGGAAATGATTGCGCTATTTATTTTTGCATTAGCGATTATGCTAATATAAAAGTCCCTCAAATGTCCCCACTGATATATCGCATCACACTAGTCAGGTGATCTGCGAAATGTCTATTAAAGTAAACGATTCCTTTAAGTAAATTACGAGCTGTAAAGGTAGATGTGGCCAAGTTTGTAACTTCACTATCTCGATCTGAAATAGCCGTGACTGATTCTTTTAACATTATATTGGTTTTGCTTTGCTTACATTTCCCAAAATTATCAATTTAAATTGATGATAATCGTGCTTCGTTGGCCCTTTCACCAGTTCTTAAGGTTATCGCACTTTACCATTAATGTTATTTGGTGCTTGTTTTCCTTAATTAACGAGGTTTTACTTCTCTTTGGAAAATCATAAAAGTGGTTGTGCCTTCATTCCATTGCTACGACGTGTAAATTCATGTGCCAGTCTATGGATATAATTTCCTTCCCAGCTGAGCTTTTAATCCTTTCCATTTCCAAATGTCAATAAAATGCAACCAAAATTTTACTTTATTTACCTACAGTGCCTCTATCCCTCCATAAGAGCTTTCATCAGTAGTCACTGGATTTTAATCGTGTGCATTTCGAGAGGGCTTCGGTATCTAAGTCGTTTGAAATTTATTTTTGGCTTTTTTAGTTTAGTGCCTATGACAGCCATTAACAAAAGTCTCTGTTTTTCCTGATTTAATTTACTCGACTTAATCGTTAAAATGGTCCTTTTCCAAAACTAATTTATAACCCTATTGTGTCTTTGGAGAAAATCTTCATTTGCTTTGCTTTCAGATGTTCATTCACCTTTAGGTGCTATCATTTCTTCTTCACCATCTTAATAGACAAAGATGGCTTGAATGTTTATTAACTAATAGTTGGAATATCCTTTACTGGACCTAGTATTATCCACATCTACTCCGATCGTTTTTTTCTTAATTCTAAGTTAACGCCGTAGGTACGCCGATCACTGCATTCTTCTCAAAGGAGCCTTGAGCATCAAAGCACGGGTGTTTTGCCGTTTTAATTTGTAACCAAGGCTTGTACTACTGAGTTAACTAAATCGATTGCTGCTCAAAAAATAAGGAAAAAAGTGCAGCTTTTTCGCCGGCTACAGAGCTTTAAATTCTTTTATTCTAAGTCTAATCGATCTTGCTGAGACATGATTAACTGCAATTACTTGTTATAAGCTGATGAAAGGTATGTCACATATTTGTGACGTCAGTTTTATATGGTGCGAATCGGGGAGTCGCATATGCCTGACATCAGCAATAAATGTCCAGATAATAAATGCTGATCAAAAATTTAGAATTGTACTAAGAGTGGTTGATTTTATTGTAGATTAAGTCAGAATTATGCCCTTAAGGGCCGCACCGCCTTCCCTGCTGTGCCACTTGACCTACACGATGCCTCAGACAAGCGATGTAGGATGTTCCATCGACCCTTTCTCACGCCTGCCCAACGAAACTTTACTGCATATCTTCTCATTCCTTGATGCGGACCAGCTGTTGGTATGCGGTCAAGTGTGTCGACGCTGGCGCCGCCTCTCTCTTGACTGGCACCTCTGGCAGGTGAAGCTTTTCGAAACGCGCTGGTGCACTATAGTCTGCCCTGAACCCCCACCACGTGACATGCCTATCTTCCTTCCTAAAAGTCCGTTTCACGATCCCTCCTCTATCCATCCGCGTACTGTCTACCGCTTTCTCAGCCAGTACATTCCTAAATGTGACGGCGGTGATAGCGGCAGCGGCGAACTTGATGACACTTCCTCCCCTCCATCTACCCCCTCTACTGTACCCGAAGTTCACACCTCTCACCTCTCCGCATTCATCCATTCCATAATATATCATGTCCGAAGCCTCCTCCCCTCCCGCAACTCTAGCCCCGCTAACGCTTCAACTGCTGGGGCCTCCCCTAACCGACCGCGATTCGCGCTTTTCGGTCCGGGACTGGATCACCGGTGGACAAGTCGCCTCTTCTGGAAGATGGTGGACACACACACCCGCTCCTTTGAGCCCATCAACGTTTTCACCGGCCACATGGGCTTTGAGTCGGGCATCACATTACGTCTCTTCGCCCAGGCACAGCATGCTGTGATGGACGGGTCCACACGATGCTCGAGCTCAACGCGGAAGACCTCCTGCGACTCTCCAAAGCCCTCAAACACCTCCACGATGAGCCGCTTTACATCCTGCCTGTCCGCATCCGCTGTACCGCCGATGAGATCGGCTGAGACGGAGAGTGTCTCCCCACCACTCGTTCACCACTCCACTGAGTATCCCTGCCAATGTCACCAACATGAGGACTTCACCTTTGACCTATCCTATCTCTACTCCTTACCGCCTCACTTAAAACATGTCTTCAATGACCAGTATACTCGTCTGCGTGTTAGTAGGCTCTTCTTCCACCAACAGGGTGTAGAGCGGGAAGAAGAGCGGGAAATTGCACCGGAGATGTTGCTTTCGCACCTTGAGGTGACGCATGAGATGCGGGAGATTTGTCGAAAGCTGGACGGTCTCATCTACGCCATCGATGCGAGGGAGTCCGCTGAACAACTGACCCTCCTATATCACGAGTTGAGGGCTGTGTTGCGCGCCTTTCCGGAGCGTACGGGTCGACGCATTCCTCTGGTGGTGCTCTACATCATGCCAAAAGAGGATATTAAATTCCAGAAGACCACAGCAGCGTCAACATCTGCGGCGTCGCCTCCGGTGGTGTCGAAACCAGAGCTGGTGAATCGAGATAGCTACAGTGGGGCGGAATACACAGCAGCATGGCATGATTCCATCCTTTTGGTTATTTCAGCCTTGAAGCTCTTTGAGTTGCCGAACCCCTGGAGGCTCCAGAAGTGCTCAAGCAATGATATCAAGACTCTCATTCAGAGCCTCATGTGGTTGAATTTGAAGTACCTTCGACCCGTGGCTGTGTCGATGGCAGAGGAATAGTTATGACGCTTCTTATGTGAAGGTGGCTTTGAAATGTCTTTCACGAAAGAGTTGTTGAGAAACGACAGTGAAAAATTACTAATAACTTTGAATGTGTCCATTCCATACTGCACTCATTCAATGCTTCTCCACTTTCCTTTCTATCCGCCCTTTCAAACGTGGTCACATCCAACAGCGATATTTTATGTTTCTTTGTTTTTAAATAACACTCCCACTCTACCGCTCTTGCACGCACAAAAACCCCAGAGAGAGAGATAATGACATGTTACTGATGTCCATCTGACAACCCACATATCGCTTTCAGGAGACCTTTCACCCCTATTTTTTCATCTTTGTCCTGCTTATTCTGTCACTTGGGGGCAGAGACGTGTATCTTCATCTACCAGATTCGAATTAAACTCTTTTATTTAGTCCTCGTTTCCACCCCCTCGACTTTACTCGTCGAACAATTTAGCCGTAGCCAATGGGCGTGGTCCCAGAGCTTCAATAACCAATCAGATGCTGGAAATGACGGCACATTAGAACTTCTCGTTTTGTCCCGTAAAGTAGGCCGGCTTTTGCATGCTTTGTCTACAACATGAAGTAGACGCATCAAACAAGGTGTGAACCCTCACATCGTGTTTGCAATCTGATTTGAATCCACCTGGAATGAAACCCATTTAACACCAACATCATGGCAAAGCGCAAAGCCCATATTTGAATACTTCTGTTTTTTTCACGCCCCATGTGATTGTTTGCTGGCTAGACCATGTGATAGCCACCTTGAGCGCTCAGAGGACTATCTTCAGAGTACGGCGGTATGGGGGTAAGGTGAGACTCTACCGCTCTCCCATCTTTAGCCAAAGCCAATATCTCATTTGTTGACTTTGTCATATAAGGCGTGACGTTTTGCGTTTTCTTGTAAAAGCACCAACTTTCACACTATGTATTAGTTCTGGCTGTTTTTGATGAGGGAGAGAACTTTTTCAGGCATTTCAAGTTGTAGCCATTTGCTCTGCATCGCTTGGGTAGATTTGGTTTGGCTTTTATCAAGTGAAAAATTGCCAAAGGGCAACCCCAAGAGAACAGTACCCATTAAAGATACTGTTTTTGGTGCGGCAACACGCGTTATCCCGAAGTGTGCCCCACTTTGCAAAAGTTGACCGTCTCAGACGGATTCAAGCTATGGAGCAAAAAGTTGCCAATTGCGTCGGAAGCTTCTGTATCAGCTAAATCCTTCATGGGACGATGTTCCAAGTTCCCTCATGGCATTCCGCCATTAAGGCACCTTTCTATGCATGAAATTCCACTTGCTCGAAGAATGCCCTTTGAGATTGCACTGACTCTCATCCCTCTCCCATTGTGGTCCTGACACGACGTTGGTCGCTCAGTAGCGGATCTACAGTCCATACTAACTTGACTAAATTAAACTCAATCTTGTCTGACTGTGGTGAAATCCTATCAGTGAGGTGACCTCAATCAATTCATGTCTTACTAAATCTGTAGCCTGTAAAACGCTTACACTTTAGACATAAGGGAGAGGAGGAGGGCGATGCTACCATGCCTTATAGTTCACACGCATAAATAGTCGCATGCATTTTATAAGGCCCTACAATTTACAAGGAACTATCCGAAATTCACACGAATGTTTTTGGCTGTCTGTTAGATAAAAGGACCACTCATTGGGGGATGCAGTCTACTAACACAAGTGTTAGCGGTGCGTTGTAATTTATAATAACTTTGAGCCTCCGGCCTCTGCTTTAAATGTATTCGTGTTTCCTAGAAAGTGCCACCCATATTTTTGGGAGCATTCAAGTTACCACCACTTAATTTTGGGTTGCGGGAACATTTGCCCTCAATTACTTCACCCTCCAAGCTGGAACCGGTTACTTTTCCTTGAAAACTTAACCAGAGCTTTTAAGTAAGTTGGCGAAAGTAAAATGACGTCGGTGTTAAAACAATGCACATAGGGTATAAAAAACGCTTTTACCGTCACTCTCCCAAATTTGCTATTTGGTTTCGAGAAAATGGACTTTTTTCATGAAGTTAGAGTTACTATTAGAAATGCAAATTCAGTAGCAGCGGTAGTAGTTCCGTGAATAACTACTGATTCAAAATCCTCTTATCTAGATGTTTCAAGTCCTATTTTACTAATTTTTACCCTCAGCGAAGTATTAGGCACTATTCAAAGTAAATTATTCCTTCTTGCGTCCAACTTCCGACCATTCCAGAAGGATTTGAAATTTGCGTTCTTGTTTGTTTGCCCTGATTGGGCAATATCACTAACAGGGAGGCTTCGAACGTGCTAATGACCCCTGGGAGGCTGAGGTCAATCAAGAGCTTATAAGTGTGCGAGAGTGAAAGGGCTTTGTTCCCTCAAGAGGCAACCGCTAGATGTGTGCGTGCGCGCCGTGCCCTTGGCTCCCTCACATGGGTCGGTAATACAGACCCCAGTAATAAAATATTGACCTCCTTGAATGTTCTGTTTGGGAACTTGGTAGAAGCCAACGCATTATAACACAGCTGATAAGATGATAGTGGAAGGCATTTGCTGGTGGCACTATTCACCGCACACATCCACTTTACGATCACCACCACCCGTCAGTGAGACTACTTCAACTACTTTAAAAAACGAACGACCCAGGAAGAATCCGCATATATTTTATGCTATTTATGCCCCATTAATCGGTTCTGAGCACGATTTATTGCTATCACTATGGCGTCTGAGTCGAATAGCGGCACTATGGTTGGTAAAGAGTTGGCGAATTCTCGCATTCGCAATAGCAAAAATACCACCGCTTGGTAAATAGCCACCGATTCTACGTGCCGTTGTAACTCTAAAATATGCATTTTGACTGGCCATTAAGAGGAACACAATAAATCACGACTTCCTTTCTCCATTAAGTTGCATGAAAAAGAGCCACTGCGTCGGTAACTAGGACAGGAACGCAGCAACGATTAAAAACAGCCAAGTGTAACGGTGGCTACTTATATTTCACCCCGCCGTTTCCTTTAGTCGGTGTTGTTTCCTCCTTCACATAAGTGCTTCTGGCAATTTCGGCGGGATGCCGGGGAGGAGGGAGGGAGGCCGCATTGGACAAAAGGATACTTTTGTAGCATTGGGCCAAAATTCGCAGGATAATACCTCATAAGTAGGCCTATTGACTTTATTATTTATTACTCATTAAAATAAAAACGGAGTGGTAAGTGCACCCGAAATATTTCACCTGAGGTTACAAAAGATTTTACTTTTCATTAGCTAAACAACGACCTGAGTACATGTTTAAGTGAGAAAAAGTTTCATTTTTTTCCGGAGAAAAAAGGTTACAGTGAGGGTTTTTATGATCCAAGCGTCCACTGAAGTCGTAAAAAGCCTTACTAGTGGGAAAGTAGTCGGTAGCTTAAACCAGGCCAAAAGAACATACCGCCAAAGCGGAAGTACAAACTGTGGGAACTGAAGAGGCCTTTACCTAAAATAATCTGTCGAACAGTGCAGTAAAGTACAGGATGGCCTTTTCGAGTGTCATTCCTAGAAATCCCCCCAGGTCACCCTTTTGCTACGACCATCACAAAGTCAGTGATGCGCCTCTTTAATTTCATTGTAGTAAGGAATTTCAAATACCCTTTGAACTGTATGGGGGGAGGAGGTTGGAAGATGCTCTACAACAAGTCCATTTTATGTATCAGTTAGTGGTCGTGAGAATGCTTGCCTAAAAGAGGATTACTTCAATAGAGGACACAATTTAACGAATCATTACTGGGCTAATATGTTCTGTATATAGGCTTCCACACCGCTTTGTTCCCCTTTTAATACAGTTTGACTGTCTGTCTCCTTGGATGCAGCTGCTAGAAACGTTGAAGAGGTGTCAAACTATCGTAGTCAGCTCCATAGGATGCGTATACAAATCGTCTCAATCTGATGTCCCTCCATTTGCTGACTGCGTTTTTTGCAGAACACGCGACTTGACTGACAAGTCGTCCGTAGGGCATCTACTTAGATGTTCTTTAATCACTGGCAATCAAGATATTCCTCATGTTGTAATAATTCAAACCATTCAAGAAAGTTGTCAACATGGTCGGAAGGCTATGAAGTAAAGGATAGCCGATAAGGGCTAAAGAGCCGGCATGTATGGGATGGCATGACGCCAAGATGGCCCACAACATATCCATTCCCTACACGTCTACATAATCTAGTTAAAATTTGTTGCTGCTGCACAATTTCGCAAACTAAAAAGGAGTTGAAAAGTCTGCTTAATAGCTCGTCAATCTGAGTGAACAGCCAGTGCTACGCGTTGCCTGTGGTAACGAGTCGAGGAGGTTTATTTGCTTCCAGAGCAAGGAAACGTAATTGATTACAATCTTTAATGGAAGCAGTCCCCCTTCCATTCCCCTTGCTATTCTAGACCATCATATGATCTCCAGCATTTATGTTTTTAATCAAAAACGACAAGTATCCGACAATTTTTTTAAATAGATGTCATTTTAATTTGTGTAAAATTGGTTGTTTGCTAATTTCACCATCACCGGAACAATATGTCCAGCTAGAAGAAACTACGCATCATTTTTGGGCGATGTCATGCACCACCTTCTATAAACGAAAGGGAGGAGGGCACAGTCACGACTGAATCACATTGGTGTTGCAACCTCCGACAAATTGCCGTCTACGCACGCAGCACCGTGAGCTCGCTTTGTGGCTCAGCGGATGGCAAGTGCATATCGTTGCTCTAATTTGACACCACTCAACGTATTTTTTTTCTTTTCCTTAGAGGCATGATGTGTCTTAGTCAAATGTTTCATTTGAAGTACGGAAAACCTCATAATGCTTGCTAAATAAACTTTGACTTGGTAACATTAACGGCAAAGGCAAAATTTGCGGTAATAAAAGTGCATTTTAAGTCAGGCAATGCTTATTTTATCTTGGATTTGCATCTTTACTTAACATTTTAGACGTTTACTCGGTGCTTGAAATAAAATACTGCGCATTCGCGAAAGTTTGGGGATAAGAACTAGTGTATGAACTTGACCAGCAATTTCGAACGCACTGCCCGATTGCTGGGACGAGCGCCAGGGGTGGCGGGAACTTTACGCTTCCTTGCCTTACAAGTACAAGAAAATTTTTTACCCCCACATGGTACTTTTAGGGGAGACGTTTCAATCCAGCGCGTTTCTTTGAAATGTAAAACCTGAGGAATTAAGCAACTAAAGTTTTAAAACACTTACAGTTACTTAAATAGATAAAAATCAGCGATTTTTATGGGGCGCAGACTTTAAAGTAGACCAGATTGGATTCCTTTTTCTTTCTGACTTCAAAACTGCTAACTGTCAGTCTCTTACTGGCTCAAAGTCTTTTTTTTATTTCTCGCCTCTTAATCATGTAATTGTGTATTCCATACTTTTGCGGTTTATGAGATTTGCCTTATTGCCATTTCGTGTGATTCATCTTACTTATTTAATATAGGTAGTAATATGCTTTCGGCACAGTCAACATAAGAGGATGATTTTTCCCTTGATCAGGTATTTTTACTGCATTGTCAGAGGAATATAAATTACCCCAGTTACCCATATATTCTTATTGAATAAAATTTAATTCGCCTTAAATAGACTGGGAAAAGAGATTGCTAGGTGAAGTTTAAAAGAAAAACAATTGTAGACATGGAAAACAACTACGAACCCCTGATCTCCTCCGCACGCAGACAGGACATATTCTGCTCGAGTGTTACTCTTCAGGGGATTCTCAGGACGCTGTAATGATAGTACACCGTTTTACAAGAAAAAAATCACTAGGTGAGTGTTTCAAATGCACAAATAAGGAAGCAGTCACATGACACACCAGAGCATGGTAAATTAATTCCCAATCCGCCTACAATGGCTCGGATACAAGTATTTAAACCTTTTCCACATCTTACAACGTTTCATAGGGGAAAACGTAAAATACTCGTTTCAAAATGCAATCCTCGCGACCATCAAGAAGGTAATAAAAAGTAACCACAATCATTGAAACCACCATAAGTAAAATTATCTGAAAAAAAAAAGCATTTATATACTAATGGACCTTACCAACTTCTTTACACGCATTCTGAAGGTTGAGTCGTTGTGACGAACACTTTTGTCGCTGTAATGCTTTAACTGTTTGTTTAACTCACCATCTTGGCAAAGGGCCACTTACGGTTTCTCCATTGTGGTACCTTTGACGAGCGGTCTGGCCTCCGTGTCATGGTGGTAGCCCTAATCCTCCCAGTATGCCAATAACGCCTACTCTGCCCGAGTATTTTGATTCCATTTTTCTTCAGGGAAGTCTCGAGACTCTACAATGGTCTCCTTACAATTCAATAAAGCGTTACTGAATATGCTGCTTCTCTGCTCTTGAATTAGTCCATAAAACACGTTTTTTTACCACAAAGTTATTTGCAGATTATGGTTTCCTAATTTCGCTAGAAATTTCTAAAGAATATTTTAGTTTTAAATAATTTCTCCCCAAAGTCCACATGTATTGAAGCAAAATCTTCTTTCCCATACCTCCACCTTCATAGTTAATTCGCGAATTCACTTTCCCGCATGAACAAGGGAATTAAGAGGGTCGTTTGAATGCTATGAAATCCATAGTCATTCCATCCATCCACAATCGCAATGCCTCACCTCTGCTAAGTTAATTTTCCACTAAGGCAAGTACCAACATCAGTGGTTTGAAATATACCAGGGCACCAATTGAAATCACTTTAAGTTCGCACTGTGCCAACAAAGACACCCAAGGAGTATAACGCCTTCTTAGGCTTTGGGAATGCGCTAAAATGCAGCTAGGCCCTACACAATGCCTTTACTAATGGTTGCTGAGGTAACTCTGGACAATTCGCCCAGTGAGAACGTTACAGGAAAGATAACTCCATTTCAAGTACACTAGGGTAACGCCCTTCTGAGTCTACCAAAAGTAAGAGCAACTAAAGGATATGTAGCACTCTATAACAGTACACAAACAAATGATTTTTAGAAGAAAATCGAGTACGAATGACAAAGGAAAAAGTGTGGAGAGAGAGTTAAAGCAGTAAAAAAGTGCAGTTACTAATTTTTATGCAATTGGTCATATTTATCTAGGTTTTTATAATTTGCCACGTAGCCCTGTTGAGCCTTCTTATCTGGCAGGTTCTCTCGACCTTCTTTTCCCTTTCCTTTTCCACTTTCCAGATCGAACCGCTCTTTGTGCGAGCCTGTGTAGCCCCGATGATCGGTCAGACGAGCCGTAGCACTATCCTTACTCACTGAGGTGGCTCCATGAGCGCTAGGTTGACCTTTGGCCACTTTGGATTGTAATTCTGCCACCGCAGCATCATGATCCATATGGCGGGCATCCATGTAGGCATCAGCCAAATCGCCTTCCAAAAAGGCGCAAAAGCCCTCAAAGTCGACATCGCGACGTCCTGCACCAAGATGCTTCCGAAATTGAATGTCCACACGATTTTGATCCATGCCTTTGCAGTAGATATTGCAATCAGTGCAGATCTTTTTCAGGGTCTTGTCAGTGCACGTGGTGGAACCCTTCTTGACAGAATCGCAAAAGGCATAAAACGACTCCTCCATGAAGTATGTGTACGCGTGTGCAAGAGATACCCTGACCAAAGATTGAGCACCACTGGTATGCGCTTAATGTGAAATAATCATCCACAATGACCAATCAGACCTATGGAATTTCCGTATTGGTCGGAGATGTTTTTGTTCCGCAGAGCATTACCGATGCACCGGGACCGTAGGCCACTGTTATGTTTACTGTTCCGTCAAATAGCGTGATATTTCATTGGTCAGGGCAGTAAGTCTTCAGCTTCATAAATAGTTTATCTACAACCATATCCAATGGAGAAGCGTTTAGTCTTGTGCACCAATAAATATACTACTTATAGAATAAGTGGCCCAGAAACATTCTCCAAAGTTGAATTTTGAGTTCCGTTTTTAAATATTCTACTAAGTACGAAGGTCAATCATATCAAACCATGGTTTAATACTCCCTCAACCTAAAAATGGATGTTTTAATGGCAACGCTGGTGGTTGAAGTTCCTTTATGCGTTACAGTACTGTGGCTATAGTGAGGCATTTGAATAACTACATATTCCTACGGCTGCTCGTGAAGACCCACACCTCGATGGCATTCATCCTGCAGCACCTCCAGGCTTACGCGTCATGCATTAGGGCATACTTGTTAATCTCACGTCACTTCGCTTTGTTTGTTTCCCCCTGGCGGATATGCTGAAATCTGTGAGGTGAAATTAAAGGCAACTTTCGTGAATGCCAATCAAGATGACATTCATCAGTTGTAGAATTTGTTAACAAGAAGTCACCCATAATCAATGAGTAAATTTGACCAAGTCGGAGTGGTACTTGTGCCATTTAATTGAGTGGATAATCGCACAATTCATAGTGTAAGCATAGAAGCTTTTATTGTACGCACACTTCCATCTGAAAACCGCACCCGCAGTTACACGTGGAGCTCCACGCTGTAAAATTAGTTCTTGCCTTATTCAAGCAAGAGTCGGCTCCCCTTCACACTGCACATCTATCTAGCGTTTCCTCAATCATTCTGCATCATATCGTAGGCCCAATTATCGTTAGGTACCCTCTCCTAATTTAACTCGTGTTCTTAAAAGCCAAATCAATTACGAAGAGAGATAGCCCTCTGAACCAAAATCCAATGCTCATAACCGAAAAAAATTTGTGAAATTTATATCAACTGCCTCTCTAAACAATCCAGATACAATATTCACTCGAAGCAAGTTAAATCCTAATCTTTGAGTAAACAAAAATACTCATCTTCAAACCATCGAAAAAATTCGCAGCGTTAAGTTTGCAAGTTTTGAAGTAAAATTCGTCAATACAGAAAGTAAAGAAAAGTAGGTATTGGTTGTAAAGAAGCATCCCACAAATTAACCATGCCAAATTGCAGAAGAAGAATTCATGGTGGAGTCACAATCCAGACCTGCAAAATCTTTTGAGAGTAATGAGAGTATTTTGCCCGCGAAATCTACATGTGAAAAAAACAACGGTAACGATGTCTTTATAACTTAGTAACAAGTTTGTGCGTACCATGCAATGACGGAACCCGGCAGAACTGTTCCGACTGACCAACAACATTCACAAACGAAGCCAAAATAAAACCATTTATTGTAAAATATGAAAAAATGTAAGACGTAAACTCAAAACCATTTTGAGAGCATGTCCCATATCGAAGAGAAGGTGGTCGAGTTACATAAAACCTGCCGATGTTCCTGAACACGCTTAAAGAAAATATCGAAACAGGTCCATTGAAATATTTCATTTAAGTTGAGGTAGTGAGAATTGGTGTGTTTGAGACACTACACTCGCCAATTCGTAGCAGCTGCCGCAAGTGGACCGCGATCCGCACCACCAAGGTTCCGGGCAATTTCTGACACGCAGTCAAATTCCTTGTCTTCAACGCTGGATGCTGCACACACGCTAATCACCACAAGTGTCTGTTTGGAGGAAAGAGATCGAGAAATAGCTGTCAATTCGCATCGGATTTCATCCCAGCTTGTGTGACTCTGAGGAGCATCCACTAGGTAGAAAACGAAGTCGTTAACCTCGATCATAGAACTAGCCTGTCTTGTTAAATGGCCAGAGGTCACAATAAAACTGTCCTTCACTCGGCTTGACTGACGTTCACGGTCGGCCTTGAATCGTGCATGCAAAGTGGAGACTTCGATAAGTAAATCACCTGAAGTAGTGTTTCCCTCCACAGGAATGCGGATTGAGATTCCATTACCCGTCCAGCCTACTGGATGGGAGAACAGTTTACCTTTCGAATTAGTGTCCATTAAACGAATGAGGGTGGTATAGAAACTGTCCAGAAACCCAATTGCATCAACCGCTGGCCCAAGAATAAGACAATAGAACGTCTGCATAGTCATTACTGGTGCAAACTCTGAAAAATTTCGATCAAACAAATCGGTTTGCATGGAGTGATAGCGAACCATTTGGCATATATAGTCTGCTGACAATGAAGTTTGCTTCAAGGTGAGTTCACATAGTCGTCTATCTAACCAGGCCGATCGATTCATATGGCGACGAAGTAAATTCTGAACTCTTGGAGTGAAAATAATCCACTTCCACTTCGAAATGGCAGTACAGGCGTTGACTATTTCCAAGGAACTAAGGCATTGGCAAATATTGTACGTAATTGGAGAAGGCAGACTGGAAACCATGAGACCTTGCTGACTCATCGAATGCATAAGAGTAGGCGACAAAAAATGTCATGTTAGTGAGCTTTGGAAGGATGCTCTCATCATTAGAATCCAAGGTTTAAGTATTACACGCAATTGACCTTGAACAACTACTGTTTTGATTTAAGGACAGTGCGGATTAGCAAAATTAGTAGGAAATTCGCATCAACACAACAAAAAAAAATAGAAAATGACTGCATGAAATATGAAAACATTAAAAAAATGTAAAAGCTCCTTAAAAAGGCTCACACTACAGGCCAAGTATGTAATACCTTGAATGTAATACGATAGTGGCCTACCTCTCGGTTCTGGTGAGGCGCCGCTTTTGTACTTTGAACTAGCCCCCTTGTACCTCGCTGGGTGGGCTGGCCTTTTGGGCCATGCCAATAGCCCAGACACCTTCTCCGTGCTAAATGTATATATTCTGCACGAGTATTGTGTGTTCTTTCGTCTTCAGGGAGTCTCGGGACGCTACATTGTTGGCAGCGGAAAGCGAACCCGATCTTAAATGACATGTATCCTGATTTTCCACTTCTGTGTGATAAGCCTTAGTGGAGCGGAAGAAGTACATATGCTATGGATAGGAGGATGGTGATGACCCTCAACAGAGGGGTTGATGTTGACGTCTACCTTCGGCATCTCTCCCAGTCCCGTGTTCTGCAGAAAAGCTATTAGCAACTGAAGCGACACTAGCCGTGAATCATCTGGAAGTTTCGTTACGGATTTTCCCCACCGTCCCCCATGGACCTATTTTAAATCTTGTACTTCCTTACTCAAATCTGCTTTTAGGCCAGTGTTCCTGCATCTATCTATGGACAAGCATGATGGTTGACGCAGTTCCCCGTCTTGAATCAAATCCCTAAACTGGACGAAACCGCAGATTCAGTCAAGGCGCCAAGAGGGATCAGTGACGTTGAGGTCAAGTATCCCCTCAGTTGCGCACTAATTTGGTGACTGGCACGGTCGGATCGTGGGTGTTTCTTTACAGCACCGACTACGTTGTAATGGCTGACGCGGGAGGTTGACCTGCTGGAGCGCCGGGGAAGACGCTCAAGAGGAGGGATGCTATGTAATACGATAGTGGTTTATCCCTCGGTTCTGGTAAGGCGCCACATTTGTACTTTGAATTAGCCCACTTGTACCTCGCTGGGTGGGCTGGCCTTTTGGGCCATGCCAATAGCCCAGACACCTTCTCCGTGCTGAATATATATATTCTGCGCGAGTATTGTGTCTTCTTTCGTCTTCAGGGAGTCTCGGAAAGCTGCAGGGAAATAAATTAGTAAGAGACGAAAAAATTCAGGTATTTTGCGAAAAAACATTACTGTTCAAATTGCAGAAAATCCCCCCATTAGAAAAAGAGGAAAAAGACTTGGCAGTAAACAAAAATTAAGGGCAAAAGAAACCAAAATTTGAAATACAAACGAAAGCGCATGAAATGAAAGAACCTCGGATTAGAAAGAGCGTAAATAAAAAGTCAGGTCAGGGCAGCAAGGATTCAAAATAAGCAATAAAAAAGCGAATGTAAAAACGACACAGAAAAGGAAAAGATAGAAAAATTGGAAGCTAAGGGAGGGAAAGCAAGACGAAGGAAAAAAGGCAAAAAGGCAGGAATAAAGAGAGCAAAAAAAGTAAAGGAGAGCAAAAACGGAAACATAAAAAAAAGAAAAAAGTAAAAGCGAAGGCGAAAAAAAGGAAAAAAATAAAGGCAGGAAAATGGAAAAAGGTACATAATATAAGGTAGAGCTGGCGTGACGAGGGGAGGC